CTTGGCTACATTGAAGCAGTTTCTTCTCTTCTATCCTATAATTTGTGCACAATGATCTCGATCTCGGCCAAATTGTATATATAAAAAAGAAAGTTGGATAAAAAAGAGAAGAAAATTAGTACGATGGACAAGTAGACTTAGCGAAATAAGATGTATCATTTTGAAAATTTTGAGCCATATTTATTTTAATCTTAGCAAAAAAAGAGAGTTGAGATAATATTTATTGAATACCATATTCTGAAATAGTTTTTATATCAAACCACAAATGATGATAATGAATGATAGTCAAAAGACGTTATCAAATGTCGTGTGTGCACATGGTGAGGCACAGATGCCGGAACTTGTTGAGGGGGGGGGGGGGGGCTGCAGGCGTAGGATAAGCTCCCTTTCCACTTTCAACAGGCATGTTGTATTGCAGTCAAAAAAGAGTAAGTGGTAGTGTTAAAAAAATGGCAATGAAAAAAGTTCGACCCCCTCCCACCCCACCCCACCCCCAACACACACACAGACAAAAGTGTTAAAGTACTTTTTTTGCATGTCAGGGTTTTTCAGGGCTTATATTTTTTCTCTTTCAATTAGCCCACCCCACCTACTTCTGACGCCAATGTGAGGGGAGGGGAAAGGAGGGAGTTGAACAGGCTCTTCAATACATATACTCAATACTTGTAACGGTCCTGAAGCGAATTATGAAATCAGTTTGAAAAGTCTCTTTTAAAACGGCTACAGTGTTTTATCAATCGCGTTGATGATAATGTATTTTGTATTTCAGTGTGTGTGTGGGGGGGGGGGGGGGTATACCGTTATACCGTGTAAAGGTATATGAAAAATACAGAATATATCAATAAAATATCCTGATATTAAGCGAGAGGAAAAAGAGAAAGGGGATTTCCTACAAATATTATGAAACAAAATGAATTTATTCTAAAACAAAATAATTAAAATGAAATATTTTATACTTGAATTCATTTTCTTTTATTTTTTAATACATATTTTTGTAGGAAATGATAGAGGTTTACAGCAGTTTAGTATTTTTAATAGAAAAATTGCCATCTGCTATTTTCCAATGCATGACTGTGGCTTATTTAACCACAAACAGAGATGGAAATTGTATTAAATGGTTGAGACATCGGGATCGAGATGCCTTTCATATCTCGATACGGATACGGATACGTTTACGGATACGGATACGTCAGATAGAACAATCTCTATTGTTGATGCCCTGACATACCCTCCTAACTAGACAGTGATTCCTTAAATATAATTGCCAGTCATATATGTTAAAATATAAACTTAAATTATATCATCAGCTCATATATATACATATTTTTTTCTTCTTCTTAATTTGCCTTGTTATAATTCTACCGAATTTACCACCGAAACTTACCCCGGGGAGGTAAATGCAAAATTTTAGATCACTTTGTAAATATTGCATTTACCTCCCCCTAGTAAATTCGGGTAAGCTCACCAAGAATAACGCCCGATTGTGTTTAAGATTGTTAATTTTTTTTGTAGTGAACTTTTAGATATGACCAGACCTAGTCCTCCAAGAATTACTAAAAGACTTACCCGTAGTAAGCATTAATGCTCACTAATTTACCATTTGACTAACATTATGGTATTGTAATGCAATGCTACACAAATAAATGGCTCACATGGGTTAAGGTTTTGCAATTAAATTTTCAATGGATAAGTTGACCCAGAATTGTTAAAGGTTATATAGAACGTGTTCATACGTAAATGATTAAAATATCGATGAAACTCGCGAAAATAATATTTGTTTGTCAGTTATAATTCTTGATGTGAAAATATTATCTGAGATGATGAATCAACAATGTCAACAAAAATCAACCCACTGCTTGGAGATGATGATCGATGAATAGGGAATTTTATTGTACATTTGTATATACCATTCATGTTTTTATATTTAGCTCTTTTGTGCACGTATTACAGAAATCGGTTAACATGTGCATTCTGATTATTTAATTGCATGGTCTATGTAATGATAATAATCGACCACATGTGAAACCATGCATGTTGATGATTCTTTTCAAAGTTATCTTAATTTGATATATTCTTAACATTGCATAATAAACACCAGGAAAATGTCGAAATATTTTATTTGGAAAAGTGCATTTGATATATGAAAACAAACTTAAATGTTGTCGGAGAATTGAAATTTTCATATTAATCATAAATAATAGAACTTTAAAAATTAGTGTGCATATACCCCCGGTAATTTCCGGCAGAACTTACATAGGATAATTTAAGATGACAATCGTCCATCTTTCAAGAATTTCAGACCCCCCCCCCCCCCCCCCCCCCAAAATGCAAATTTTGTCCGATACTCGTCACTCAGGTCCATTGAGCAGGAGGAACCTTTTTCGTGCCAGCGTCTACTGCGACATAGGACCTCGCTTTATATGGTCTCATCCGAAGGACCGGTCTCCACGTCCCGCAGTAGAATTCAAACCCGCGACATAAGTATCAACTCCTTACTTCCCGACTCTAGAGCAGACGCTCTATAACCATTAAGCCATGCGGGCGACTTGGCGCACAAGTACACAAGTAAAGTATATCAGTAAGAAGTGGCCGGTATACATGTAAACTATACCAAGGGTTATAAATTTATATATTTATTGACAAAATTTATGAAAGATTTTGTTTATTTAATGAGTTTCTATATGATTATTTTTTTTAAATGCTGTCTTTTGAATACCTGGTTCTATTCAGTGAAAGATGGTTATGGTTCACGAAGCGGCCTTTTTAGCTCACCTAAGCCAAAGGCTCAAGTGAGCTTAAAATTTTGATCGAAATTTGTCTGTCGTTGTTGTCGTAAACTTTTCACATTTTCATCTACTTTTCAAGAACTACTGGGCCAATTTCATTTTAACCAAACTTGGCATAGAGTAACCTTGGGATAGGATTCAAGTTTTTTTCCAGTTCCAAATGAATGGCCACAGCCTCTTCCAAGGGGAGATAATTCCAAATTAGAAAAATTAATGGCATCTTCTACTGTAAATCACTTTTTATTCGCGAGAACTTTATTTTCGCGTAATTACGCGAGACAGTGTGCTCGCGAATATTTAATTCTCGCGTAAAATAGTATTCCTTAAGATTATATTGAGCATTAACCACAATTCGCGAAAATTTTGTCTCGCTAATCAAGAGTCAATGGCTATCTCGCGAAAATAAAGTGTCGCGAAAATTAGGGATCTACAGTATTTAAAATCTTCTTCTTAAGAACCACTGGGCCAATTTTTGAAAAGTAGGTCAAACTTTAATGTTACGGGGTCAAAAGTCATAGCGTATTTAGAAATGTGTTTTCACATGTAATACACATGTGTAATATGAAAGCCCTTTCTCTTCTTCATTTAAAGATAAGACCAAGTTACAGTTTTTGAGACAGACCGACAGACATACAGAATGGCAGATGAATGAATTTAACGTCCCCTCGCTTTCGCGAAAGTTGCAAACACACGTGGGTTTCGTGTCCAGTGCAACTTTTCTACTCCATTATGAATGCACATACCAGAAGATCTACAATGTCAGCTTTTTTCTTTCTTTTTTCCTATAGTATGTCCTCGTAATCGAAGATTCTAGGGTACATAGTTTTCGCCCTGTCTGTCGCCTGTCTGTCTGTCTTTCTATTTGTCGGTTTGTCCGTAAAAACTTTTATCTTGTCCAAAACTTTTGAATGGGTAAAGCCATGGCTTTCATATTTCACAGGTGTATTTCTTGTGACAAGACCTTTCTTTTGGTACCACCAAAATTGACCTCTTGACCTTGATCTTTGAGATTGACCCAATTTTACCTAAAAATTCCGAACTTTAACCATAACCTTAACTTTTGAACAGTTGGTTATGGGGCATTATACTTCAAATGTTTATTCATGTGATAAGACTTTCCATTGGGTATGAAAATATTTGAGATTTTGACCTTGAACCTTAGAGTTTGGCCCACTTTTTAAAAACTTGAACCTTGGCCATAACTTTTGAACTGTGAGTATAAGGGCTTTCATTTTAAAGGTGTATCCCATGTAACAAGACAGTCCTTTGCATGTTCCAATTTTGACCTAGTGACTTTGACCTTAGAGTTTGACTCACTTACAAAAAAAAAAACTGAATGTACTTCATCCTATGATGTTTATTTCCTCGAAATAAATAAAAAAAATAAAATTTTACGGACCAGACACTGTTAGACATCTCAATTTTGTAAGCTTCTTGCAATATGTGAGATGCTTGGAGATTATTTTGAAAAAAAAGCATAGAATAGGAAGCGATTAGTTCCAAAGGCTTTGACCCAGTCAGTTTTGTAAGAAAAATTAATCCTAACTCTGTCCTAACTAATACTCATTTTATTTTGACGCTTGAAAATTCCCTGCATCACTACATATCTTGAAATAGAACGATTTGTAGGTGAGATTTCAAATATCGCGTTTTAAATCTGTCACAGAGTCGTGGAATAAATGTTTTAATTTCCGGAAGGTTATCTCCACTTCTAAGTTTGATGCCTCATGTTTTAAAGAGTTTAGAAAAATCCGGATATTTTTTTCTTTCAATTTTTCCCAATCAATGGGACTTCTCAAGTTCTAATGGCAATTTAAATGAATGTTTTTGTAAAATGAGAATAATTCAATAAGTAAACAATTTGCGTTTTGTATGATTGTGCGATTCACATGCTTTCCTCCGAGACCAGTGACAGCTCCAAAACTAATTGCAGCTATGCACAACATTGGAATTCCATTCCATTTATGGCAATGACGATTATTAAGTATTGACTCATGATTAGTAAGTACCTCAAACAAATTGTTCACAAAAGTGGGAATTGTCCACAAGGAAATCTTTGAAACAGCACAGTAAAAGTTTTTTTTTTTTGCCTTGAAAGAAGCTTCAAATGCCAAATCATTTACAAGCTAAGTTATGCAATGCGTATCTAATCATTTTTTTTTTATTTAGGGTCGAATTTTTTTAAACAAGTAATGTTTAGAAATCAAACAAAACCACGTTGCCATCATATAACTAAATCATTTATAACTACGGGGAACACCCCCAAGGAATAGGGGCATCCATCCAAACTTTCATGCCTCACTTTTTTCTAATTCATAAAGCTACAGGAAGTTATAACTGAATCGACTCACTAGTGATCGATGTCTGGACTCTGGGCAAATTAAAGCTCACCTGATGCATTTAGAACAATAGTGTTCTGGTGGGTCGTCAATACATCATCAACAGAGAAATTTACATAGCGTGGCGGCACTTGTCCCGACTGACGCCTTGGTACGTTACCTAAATCACGAGGGATTACGACTGAGAACTAGACATCCCGAATTGAATACAGGCAATCGGAGTTTTCCAAACATGTGGAATATCGCTGCTCTTTTGTTTTTCAATGGAGTTCTGGGATTGAGTACCAAGGCTAACGAAAGTACCAAAGTTGGTGAGTACAATTAAAAGTCAGGATTTTTGCTTGCACGAAAAAAAAATATTTGAAAAATTATATCAATATTCATTCTTTCTACTTTTCAACGGAGTCAAAATATTTTTCAAGTCGATGTTGATAAGACCCCGATTCATTCAATTTTTGTGTACAAATCTACGTCTAATTTCAACAGGTTGTCTTCAGATTTTAGAATATATTTATATCAATTTAGAGTGTAATCTTTTAGATTTATCTTAATACTTTGTGCAGTAAATGTGTAGACTTATCTTAAAACTGGCGTTGCTGCACACCACTTCAACAAATTACATCATAATACACGATTACGGTGTACTTCTGAAATTCTTAACAACATGAAAGAAACGCGCGATTACCCTTGATATCTGTATGGTGAGTAGGTTTCAGTAGGTCACGTTATAATCTCGGCGGGGATTCGGGGCGGGATTATGGGGATTGGATTTTGGAAAAGTGGGCAAAATAATGACTTCCTCATGGAAAGAAACTGCAAATATCTGGAGCTTATATCATTAATAACATATAATTAATTTGAGTATAGACTGCTGGGCAGGGAAAATTAGAAAAAGTGAATACCTTTGATGCTTTAATGAGGAGATGTACCTAATTTACCTGCTGATTATTTTATGTAAGACTTTTGAACTCTGTGGACAGAATGTTGCCTAAGACGTTGAATTCCAAGCAAACATATTCTGGATGAAAAATTTATGAATTGTAAATGTAAAAATAAGCATTAAGCATCGGGAAAGAATGCAAACTATAATAGATCGTTTATTGTGATTTAGAATTAATATTTACAAGCAATAAAAGTACTTATATAATATAAATAAAATATAAAGTCAGCATGTTTTATATTTCGATGGATAAAGCATTTTATAATTCCTCCACTCGTGTTCTATTCAAAGAGAGCATGTAAGTTGAAAGTCTAGAATCAGAAGAAATATGCATAATATAATAATAAGGAATGGCATATCGGTCTAGCATCTCGTGTGGTAGTTCCTTGATACACCGAACCATGGACTATAGACTCTTGATTCTTTACAGAATATTAATGTAATATAGAAGACACAAAAATTTACAGTATGATCCATTGTTTTACTCAGAAATCATGACAGACTACTATTAAAACCCCAGACGGAGATGGGGAAACAAAAGAAAATTATTAGAGGATATTAATTGATATTATTAATTTTTTTTTTTGACAGCATATTCTGTTTTCTCTATTTTGACATTGCATGTCCAAACTTTAGAGTGTGTTTTAATATGATAATAATCTAAATTTTAGCTATGTTCATTATTATTTTCATATTTCATAACCATGATTTCACAAAGAGAAGTTGAATGATCGCCATCACCTCTCCTGCAAAATCTATTTTATGTTTACGCGTCACTATTTATTCCCCGGGGTATCAGTTTGTTATTTTCATTTTTTTTTCGTTTTTTTTATGCTTCAGAACCACGTCATGATTGTTTGTACTTCATGGGACAATGCCTTTACAATAAAGTAAACAGTGTATGAAACACTCAATCTAGGCACCATTGTCACTGGATATTGTGTATTTTATTGAACTAGACCGTGGAATTTAAACTAAAGATGATAGTGAGAGGTTTGTCTACCACGAAATCGTCTTTTCCACTTACTATATAACTAATATGATTTTAAAAACAACACAAACAAATCAAACAAACAAACCAATACCAAAAACATCCCACCCCCATCCCAAGAAAAAAAACCCCAGACATTGGTCAACTAAAGAGAAGAGAAAATTATTTCTATTCAAAGATACATGTTCATCACAAATTCGATAGGGAAATAGAATCATGCGTGTTTTTCAGTAAACGATAAAACTTCTAAGTTATTAACAAAAATATTGGAGCAGATTCGTTTTTTTCCAGGAAGTTGTCTGAGATAAGACTCCTTACAAACAAACTTTAAATTTACATTTTTGAAAATTAAACGGTTACATACGAGTACTAGATGTTTTGTATGTGCGTCCTAAACGAAAAGTTACAAAAAAGAAAAAAAAAATATGTATATATTTCTGGGATGCTTGCTTCGTTTTGAAATTCGTGATAAAAGGATGCTCACTGCAGTTGCAATTGGTTCGAAGGTTTCGTCGACAGTGGATAGCGTAAGCACATGCTTTGTAATGCCATATCGCACAGCGAGATTAGCGTGTGGAGATACATACTAATTATTGATACTGCTAAATGTCTGCTTAATCTGAAATGACAATCTATAGAATACTTGATACCAGGATTTCCCTTGGTGTGTTAATCTGAATTCAAAGAGAATTTCTAATAAGTATATGTAGATTTACGTCCAATAACCACAATCTTGGAAATATGACACAGAATTTTTAGATTGGTATTATAAAAGATGGTGAAGAGTTTATATACATTACTCTCTTTCAACTTTTGTCTTTGACTTTAATTCTTAAGCAGCATTTAGCGATTTTTCATACATAAGAAATGGTATGATATTGTTATCAACTGAACAATTAAGCTGAATTTGTTTCTGTGTAATTTGTTGTTCAATTAAAAGTACAGATTTCCCAAAAATAAAGCTACGTTTTGTGTGCGCATATGTCCTCTTATTTAGTGAGAAAAAAAAGCCATGAAAAGCATCTGTTGTCGGATACATGGCCATGTTAGGATTTAAATGGATGTGTCAAGTTATATATCACGTTAAATGCATTCCCTGTAGCATCGTTCCACATGGTTATTATCCTCCTTGCGTCAGAAATACCAATCTTTTCCCAGTGGAGTAATTTTCATACCCACCGAAATGTGAAGAATCATTGCGAAATACAACCCCACTATTAAAACTCATGTAATCCAGCATTTTAGCCTATCAGACTAAAAATGAAAGAAGACTTAAATACAACGCAGCCCCAGGAACTTGAATTATTTAAAAGAAATTTGACAAACCTTCCAACATTATGATTTTTAGTATGTAATAAAAACTTGATATTGTAGCAATAAAATATAAAAGTATTCAATTCGGTGGAATATGAGATAGCAATACTAGTATTCCTTTGAATTGTATATTTAATGTTGTAAAATTTTTTACTTCAGTTTTATTGAGCTTTAGAATATCTTTTTCGAAAGAAAATTTGGAGAAACATACCGAAAAGTACATATTTATACTCTGGGAGAAAATCTATTATGGTATCAAGTTTCAGATTTTATTTTTTCAGATTGTATGAATTCCGTTTCCGTTCCAAAAAAAGAAAGACTTTCAAGCTTCCAAACGGTACTCAGTGGTTTTCCAATGTTACCGTTTCAAAAACTTTGTCTGCGAACAGCCATGTTTGTGGTTGTACTAATATATGACATTAAGGAAAAATACGTCTTCCTGGAATTCTACACACCTGTCGTGTTATATATTTATTTTATTTTCTAGATTTATAAATCACATTGACAGTTGATCAAATCATTGTTAAGAGATGTTCTTTGCAGGCCTATTTTCCAGTACGTACTTTCATATGAACCCACCGTCAATTGGTTGTCAGTTGGCGAAAGTTTTGAGATTCCAAAACTAAAGAGGTTACATGTATTCGGAACCACTGAAAAGAAACTGAATTTACACATTTGTAAATACTGAAAAGAAAACTGAATTTACAAATTTGTAGCCATCGAAAATAAATGAAGTTACCAAATAAGCTGTATTTTTTTTTTTTTTTTGATAAACGGATTCTTGCTTTACCCGGAGGAATTCATATACTGAAATGCTGGAAAATTGCTACCAAAACGTGTCGTTGCATATTGGAGGTTTAAAATATGTTTTACATCCCTTGTCTTTCAAACTTTTCCTTTCTACATAGCTTACCCATGATTTATTTATTTTGGAGAAAAGCTATCCATGCAGCTCTTTTTCTTTTTTACTAGCGGTTATACCAGAATTGTGGCAGTATCTACCAAAAGTTTTCTCAAGACTTCAGGAGAATTCCATACAGTTTACAAATCTAACAACGGATTCATCTGAAACACAGTACGACGCAATCGATAGAGGTAAAACACGCGGGTCCCATTATAGGGCGCTATTTGTTTAGCTCAATATTGTTGATAGACCCATATAGCAATAAATATGAAAAGTTAATTCAGAAAAGATTCCTTTTTAAAATATAAATGAGCTCTAATTACACTTTGTGTATGTTTGCAAACGAATATAACGTCCTTTTGTAGAAAAAAGTGATTTTTTTTAACCTTTTTAGTGCAAACTTACTTAAATGAAAGCCAGACGGACGTTATCATTGGGCCATGCAGCAAAACAGTCAAAATTGCAGCGGAGGAATTGGATATTCCATATTTGTGCACAACCTCTGATCCAGCACCGGAAGTTCGTACCTTCGAAATACTTCCGGTTCTTACTGATTTCATAGAGGCAATGCATAAACTTGTATACAGCCGATTACGGAAGGAAACTAATGAATTAAAAGCTATTATCTATGATGGAAACCAAGGTATGTCGGATCGACATGAAAAGGGAAGTCGAAAATTTAGCATTCTGAACATAAATTAAGACTGTAAACAGAAAAATCTTTAACAGAATTAAAATGTATTGTCAGTATTTTATTCCGAGAGAATTTAAATTTTTCATGTATATATAGAAGTATCAATTAATTAAGCAAGCAAAATTGATTTTTGTACGACCAACTTTGTAATTTTTATCAACTTTTGGATAAATGACTGATTACCTATGTTTAAAATGAAGTCGATCAACATAATTTTCATTTTTATTTTGCAACTATAGGTTATAAAATTAAACAAAAGCATTTTGCATTAAGTATGTAGCTAGAGACAAGAAATATTTTGGCTGGACCGGGAATTGAACCCATGACCCCTGCATCACAAAGACAGGAACTCTATCACCAATAAAACTATAACCGACATTATTGCCCAAAACTGTTGCAAATGTACAGGGGGTCCTTATAAAGGTTACCTTTTTCAGAAGGCCGAATGAATGGCAATAAATATACGCTACCTTCATTAACCATTCTTTACCCTCTCCCGGAAAGACTGAAAACGAATCCCATTAGAAATAAATAATTCATCATTGTCATTGGCCTATTCTTTATATTGCAGGTTTCCATTTTGATGACAATTTGCTAAACGACCGCTTGACCTCTAGAGTTTGGGTTATGGAAGACGGAAACATAGACAGAAAAAGAAAGGTCATGACACATTCCTTGATGCTCATGCGCAAACAACTTATCCGGGAAATCCTCGTTCTTTGTGATCCGGAAACTGTGAAACTACTGTTAGAAACGGTAACGGTCTTTCATTACCAGCCCATGGCAATTTGATAAATTTGTAACTGAGGATCAGTATCAAAGTATTCAAAATATATATTCATGCATATATTTTATCCTTTCAGGCTTGGGAACTAGCTATGATGAGTCTGCCATTTAAATGGTATTTTTACGATCCTGTAAGTTTTCACTAGTAAAGATATATCTAATATACACCCAAAGTTGATGTTATACCGAAATAAAAACTGAAGGGAAACTTCTGACCTTATTAGGACAATCTAAGGTTAAGTTATCCACGTTTTTATAATAAAGTATACAGTGTATAGACATTCCCCTTCCTTCAAGGAACCTGGGATCTGTTTTGAAAGGAAATACATTTAAAGGATTGCATGATTTAAGAGCCATCAAATATAATATACATGTATGTACCTTGTATATCAGTGTTGTTTATGCATTAGTACAAGTAGAGCTTTTTCAAAAAGCTTACCGTCTTTAGCAACAACCTTAAACAGTAAACTGATCTACACCTATAGCTATCAGGCCGTATAATTCTTTTGAATTTCTTGAGATTTTGTATTGCTCCATTAGCTTTTTACTGGCATTAGCCCAACCACGATTGTTGCTCGGTCATCTCCGTAAACTTTGACCGAGAGCTTTTGGCAAACCTCGGCTGATTCTGTTACCCAATCTCTCACCAGACGGCGTTTTACGCTCATCGCTCCAACACCTCTGTTATCGTCTAAATTACAAGAATCTTGTAAAACGAAAATAAATTATGGATTCCCACCAAGTTGGTAATTTTTTTAAATGAAATTAGAAATATCAATCTGTAGCACTTCTTTTGTTTTTTTTTCAAAATTTGGATATATATTAAAATAATTTCAATATATACGGAACTATTTTGTTTGGAATTTTTACACACATTTTCATTTTGAAACCAAAGAGACAGAGTTAGAAAATATTTACCACCAGAGAGCTTAAAACACGTAAAATCATTGGCAAAACATACAAAACAATCAATGTTTATACAATTTTTGTTGACATTTACTTATATTTGGCAATCCGAACTACTTTTTAGACGACAACAGAGGTGTAAGCGGAGCGCGCCCTCTGGTGAGAGATTGTCTGTTACCTTCTTCAAACAAGAAAGGGAAAAAGAATAATAAAATATTTTAAAGCCTGCAAGGAATAAAAATCTAATCTATTTACAATGAAATTAAAAAGACCTTTTAAGTTATTGCTATAAAAAATATCATGTTATTAAGAATTTAATTACCGCTGATTTTGTTGTTCGTTTTGTCAATTTTTTTTAAGATTGAAAATCTTGCAAAATTGTTAAGTCGTACGAAAATTAGATCATCAGAGTTATCTCCCTTGCCTTGAACAGCATTTCAACCAATGAAATAATTGAAAATTTTCTCATCATGCAATTTCCACCAATCACAAAAGAGAGGAAGTGCATAGTCCGAAGACTGTAAAAAACTTCAACTATATAATACCGTCTTCCAAGGAAGACGGTAATTAACCGAAATTTGAAATTTGAACTTAAGGATAAAATATTGCATGTAGGTCTTTCAAAAGCTAGGACTTCCATATCTGCTTTCAATTTGCTTGCTCCAAATATAAAACTTGGTCATAAGTACTGTAATGAGGTCAAGGAAAGTCGAACTCCATGTACCAGTTAGAGTTTAATCTCGTATACTGAGTCATCCTAATATATATGTAAATGTTTTAGTTTTTTGAAGTTTTGCATTCGGGTTAGATCTATATAGATTTCCAAAAAAAAAAATTTGTAATCTAAACACATTGATAGTTTCTTGTCTTTTCAGGCATTCCAGCTGCGTGAAATACTAGAAAATCTGCCTCGATCTGCAAATAGCTTTACAGTATTTACACTCATGCCAAGTTACGAACATGGACGAAATCTCGACCTTAACACTATTCTGACATATGACGCCATGTCTGTAATATCAAAGATCTCCAGTAATTCAACTTCCGGTGAAAAGAGACAGATGTTCCTCTCTGCTCTAGAAAAAGTAATCACAAAATATATGTTGTATAAAAATTAATACACGAATCTATTATTTTATGACTATGAAATTATGATATTTTTTTTTTCCTTTTTTGACGTTTGACTAGAAATCATTTCGAGGCTTGACCGGAAATATCCGTTTTGGCACAAATCATCGTCGAGTAAACTACAGCATCAATATCTTCCACTTTAACGGAACAAAACATTTCAAGGTAACATCTTTGTTTTTTGCCATATTTTTCATGCAACGTAATTTTTTAAAATATGACACGAATTTCTTAAAAGTATGTCATTTTACACGTCAGCTAGGTTCTTGGTGGGCTGGGGACTCGCCCGAATTGAGGGTCATTGAGTTGGAGAATACGTCAGAAGTGCAGCACTGGAGAAACAGAAACCAAACCTTTACATTTCCCTTGAGAGGAAGAACCATAAAAGTCGTCACCATTATTGTAAGTCCTACCTTTGCACAGTTTGGACCAAAAACATGTAAAATGCATAAAATGCAACAAGAGACTCACATGAATCACATATTGGTACTGGTATATTAAAAAAAAACAACCTTATTGTATAATAGTGTTTTTTCACATTAAATATCGGTATTTGTCTCTTGCAGGAAGAACCCTTTGTAATGTTCAAGAAAGGACACGAGAATAGGACTGGGAATGATAGATTTGAGGGTTACTGTGTGGACTTGTTATATTTTCAGAAATTTGGAACGAAATTTTAAAATGTTATTCTGATAACTTGTTTAACTGGTGATTCAGATATCCGGATGCTTCACATATCCGGACAAATTGACTGGGAACCAAAGCGTCCGGATAAATGAGGGTCCACTGAATCGGTATTTGTCTCTTGCAGGAAGAACCCTTTGTAATGTTCAAGAAAGGACACGAGAATAGGACTGGGAATGAAATATTACAAAGGGTTACTGTGTAAAGTTTTATATAAGCTTTTAGAAATTCTAAAAAGGATTTTAATTTTGAGCTTTTTTATAATCTGAAAGTCCATGATAACAATGTAAATTTCATCATATTTAACCTCACCGGGACTCAAAATCAGTTCGCTATATGTAAATGTTATGGGAGAGGTTATCGTAAAATTTGGCAAAGAATTGGTAAGAATTATCCATCTTATTTTTTTATTACTACTTGGTCAACAGTTACTATTTTAAGGAATCAACCGCTCTTAATGTTTATTTTGCTATTTGATTTATTGGTATTAATTTGAAGTACAATACATATACTGGATTCCAAAAAACTCCATAAAATCCTTACTAACACAGATACATGTACATAGCAGGATCCAGTTAATGTTCTACCAAGCCACTTTCTTTACTCCTCACTCAAATATTAACACTAGTGAAAAGGAGAAACTTCGGGATTTAAAGTATTGATTTAAATCAGACGTGGATACTTAAAAACCTGGAGGAACTTTAAGAATATTTTATAAATCACAAGATTTCACCAAAATCAACAGCTTTAAACATACGACTTTTCAACTTTATACACAATCATTCCCCACGATTAATTAGAGTCCAGGCTTTTTGATATCACTGACAGCTTTTTTCCAATAAAAAAGGAACTCGTAAATTTACTTACATGTACATATACCTTGTCATTGGTCATTTGCAAAATTATTTTGTTAAAAGACATTCTGATTGTACACACAAGTACTCTAAAGTTGACAACAAAAAGATGCTTGAGTTCTGATTGACAATATCTATGTGGTCTTTGGAGACCAGGTATTCCAACAATCTATTAAAATTCCCATGGGTACCAGTTGCACTCCGTTATTAGCAGACCTATTTTTGTATTCATATGAAGCAGAATTTGTGCAACATCTTATGCGTGAAAAGAAGAAAACACTTCATGTGGCCTTCAACTCGACGTTTAGATACATCGACGACGTATTGTCAATTAACAATGGCAATTTCCATTCTTGTGTCGATACGATATATCCTGGTGAGCTTGGGATAAAAGATACCACAGAGTCTGACACATCTGTTTCATATTTAAATATTTTACTTGAAAAAGACGTTAATGGTAATCTAACAATCAAGCTCTATGATAAACCTGATGACTTTAACTTTCTAACGTCAACTTCCCTTACTTATGCAGCAGTATACCTTCATCACCTGCATACGGAGTTTATATAAATTATCTCAGTTGATTCGATATACAAGAGCATGCTCTACGTATGAACAATTTCTAAAACGAGGTAAATTATTTACAAACAAGTTGATGAAACAAGAATATCAACAGTCTCGTTTAAAGTCATCATTTCGTAAGTTCTATGGTCGATACAATAGCCTTGTCAGCAAATACAATTTATCTCGGAATGATATGCTGACTGACGTTTTTTATGCGAATTGTTAGTCCATTATTTACACTGAATTGACGACGGATTTTCCCCGTTATTTTCCAATCACGACTGGTCAGCACTGGATGTTCGCTCCTCCATGGCACGTGCTCCCACCTCCGATTTTTTTTTTTGAGGTCGTGTTTGTTTTGCTCCTGTTTTGTATTGTTTTATGGGCTTTTGATCTTGAATACTGTTCGTTATCTTCATATGTGTCATATTAATTTTTTTACCAGAATAAAAGAAAAACTTTCAAACTTTTGACTTCTCGTCATTTTATACATTCCCCCCAAGAAATGAATTCCAGACTGGTCATTCATCAAAACTCTGTTCCAAAATCTATTGTTTAAAAAAAATATGATTGTACACAAAAGTACTCTCGAGTGGATTTTAGAAAGATACTTCATTTTTTTGATTGTCAATATTTAAGTAGTTTTTAGAGATCAAGTCTTCCGACAATGTATTGGAATAGGTACCAATTGCACTTTGTTATAAGCAGACCGATTTTTTTCATATGAAGCAATATATATTTAAAATCTTCTACATGAGAAGAGAAAAACACTTGCTGTGTCATTCAACTCAATAATTCGATATATCAACGACGTATTATTATTTGAATTAAGTATCATAGTTACTTCCATTCATATGTCGTTTCGATATACATCAGAATCTAACACATCTGTTTCATATTTGAATACACATGTATTTTACTAGAAAAACAACATAACAACAAAGCTTTCGTGATGACTTCAACTATTCCCTTAGTACTTGTATAGCAATATACGCGTATCACCTGCAGAAGGGGTTAATGTCTCTCAGCTGATTTGATACACAAGAGCATGCATTCCCAATTTCTAAAATGAGGCAAGCAACTGACAAACGAAGTGATGAAACAAATATATCAATAGTCTTGATTGAAGTCATCATTTCGCAAGTTTTGTGGTCGATACAATGACCTTGTCAACAAATATTACCTTTCATCAAGTCAAAGGCTGACTGAGTTTTTCACACTGTCAGGCCATTATTTACACACTGAATTGTCTACGGGTTTTCCATTTTGTCGATCATGACAAGGAGCACACGGCGGATGTGACTGGTCGGCAGGGGATGCTCACTCCTCCAAGACCCCTGATCCCACCTCTGATGTTTTTAGAGGTCCATGTTTACCTTGCTCCATGGCACCTGATCCCACCTCTGATGTCTTTAGAGGTCCATGTTTACCCTGCTCCCAATTTGAATTGTTTACTTTGACTTCAAGCTTTAATGAACTTCACCCATCTCCATATTTCATTACACAGAAAAATCCAAACAGTTTCTAGCTTTATGAAATTTGTTTATAAAACACATTAATTCACGACTTAAAATAGCACACACACCCTCCCCACACCCCTAAAAAAGGAAAAGGAACCAAAAGAAAGGAAGAAGGAGAAAATGAAAACGAGAAAACACACACACACCGAAATAAAAATTGTAATTATTCAGCCTACAATCGTGTTATTCGAATGACAATGACCTAAAGCTACGTTACTAATGTCAACGAAATAAAAAAAGTCTGCTGATAGAAATCTTGTAATGCTGTTCGAAATAGTGATTAATTGGTAATCGTCAAAAACATTATAAAATTACTTTTAAATTACTTAATATGTATATTAAGTTTGTATACCGAGTTTCTGACATTGCATTATTCATAAGTGCTGTGATCGTATTTTGATTTATAATACTCTGGTGTTAAATTCTCTTAATCAGATTACATCATTGTATTTATTTTATGTGTTATTAACTAAAATAAAAGTATGGGTTCAAAGAAAAGATTTTAGACGGGAACATTGTACTTCAAATTGCCTCTTAAACGCCCTATCTCTTAAACATGATATTGTAGTAAAATGTAAAATCAATTAGAGGCAGGTAAAATGACACACGCACGGTAGAGAAAATCTCATGGTTATATTCAATAAATTCAATAATTATATTAATAAAAATTATTCATTTCATGACAGTAATGAAATTTCGTTATTAATGCATCCCCACACTAATAAGTAACAAGAAATGATATGTAGGTCCCATGGTGTAATGGTTAGCACTCTGGACTTTGAATCCAGCGATCCGAGTTCAAATCTCGGTGGGACCTCATAATTTTTTATTTTTTATTTTGATAAAGGTACTGCGATCCTCAGTCAGGATTTACTAATTTTCCCTATTTTATATGATTAACTTTAAAGTTGAAGTTGGAGGAATTATCGTGGATAAAAACACATAACTCAGAGAATTCAGAGACATTTTTGTGAGCATTTTTATTTACTCAATGGTTAATTTTCCGAAAAATTTATCGGAGTACCTTAACATATGTTTATTTGGAAAAGAAGAATAGGCAAGAATCCAGTCATTTAAGTACTATATATAGGTCACTATTGAATAATCTACCTATTGACATTGAATCAATATATTATTTATTTTATCGATACTCTCTAAATATATAATAAAATCATTGTTATCAATTATCCTACCTACCACACCGTTAGATTTGTTTTACTTTGGCATTTTTACATTGTAATATTTTTTCCCTACATGTTCATGATTTTTTTTATATGAAATAAGTATTAAACTGTTTAATCAATGAATTTATAGTTTGTATGTTTATTGCAATTAAACTTCAAATTCGAATATCTAATGAAATTAAGGTGAGAATAATGCTCTTAAAAATACATATATATCTGAATCATATAAATAAACATAAGTTTTTCATGAAATTGGTGAGAGTAAAAGTGAAATATTCTTTTATAAAGTATTACAGAAGGTAGATTAATGTAGATTATAATACACTGCACGTGCAATATACATGTGCATGGTAACATCTCGCTATATTGGTTCACTAATTATCAAAAACAATTAATAGTACGTCTATACACTAGAGTGCACATTTTCTTGATAATGAAATGATAACGAGTGACAGGCAAGGTAGAGAGCGCCAGTAATAACACAAATATAAGATAATATAGTAATATAGGTTCCATGGTGTAATGGTTAGCACTCTGGACTTTGAATCCAGCGATCTGAGTTCAAATCTCGGTGGAACCTAGGATTACTTTTTTTTTTTGAATTAAATTAATGAAGCGTTATATTTCGTTAGTCAAATATTTGAGTCGAAGTTGTTTTTAAAAATCATGTGTATGTTATGTCTGAAAGCTCACTTCTTTGATACCGTTATAATATTTAAAACATGTAAATATTCTCTAAGATCTTTAAAAATGTAAAAAAAAAAATTATCCCTTTTGGTGGGTTCAAGTCCAACCTCGGGATGTGAGAGTGGCTTTTCTGTCGAAGCCGTATATAAGTATAAAGTAAACCAGTGTAAACTTCCAAGTATTTATTATATACATGTATATAAAGTTCTTTTTTCAGAAACATAAGCCGATCAATTTCAAATATAAAAAAATTAACTGAATTAATATATAAATAACATACAAAGTAACAATCATGTAAGAGAAGGAACTTTCAACTTATTTTGCTTTCCAAAATCTGCAAATTTTGAAGTTTTCACGTTTGAAAAATCAATTATTACTTCAAAAATACCATCACTACCTAGAAACTTGGCTGAAGGTTTATTTTTTATTTTCCAGAATGCTACAATGGTTGTGGCGTCATTGAGTGTGAACGCACGACGCGAGGCAGCCATAGATTTCACCAAACCTTTTATGACGAGGTACGTCACGGTGATTATGAAGATTCCAACGACACCGACAAAAATCTTTGAGTTTATATCTCCTTTATCGCAAACGATTTACCTGTGTACTCTGAGTGCGTGTATAGTTGTCGCTTGTAGTTTATATTTCTTTGAAAGAAACAGTATTTACGAAAAACGTGAAAAAGTCACTTTCAAAGAGTGTGTTTGGTATACTTTTGGAACTCTTCTTGAAGGAGGTACAGATGGTACACCGTCAACCACTTCCGGACGTATTCTTATTTATACTTGGTGTTTCTTTGTTTTGATACTTGTTGCGTCCTACACTGCAAACTGGGCGGCATTTTTGACTGTTAAGAAAATTAAAGCACCGGTTAAATCAATCTATGACCTCGCTTTACAAAAGCAGATACAATACGGAACAGTTAAGAGTAGTGCAATACTTTCCTTCTTCGAAACATCTAATGTGGAGACTTTTCGTAAAATTGGAACCGAGTTGGCTAATAACCCAGTAAACATCGTCAACACTTCGTCAGACGGGTACCAGAGAGTGCGTGCAGGAGGATATGGATTTTTCTGGGATTCCACTGTAAATTCATATAAAACTAACAAGGAGTGTCAGCTTACGACTATTGGACCCGAGTTTGCACCACGTGGCTATGGTGTAGGTGTCCCTCCGGGAGCCACTTATTTAGAGGAATTGTCTATTAACATTCTTCGATTAGGAGACAACGGTTTTCTCGACCAATTACAACAAAAGTAAGAATATGTTGCTTTTGTTGGATTTGCATGCAATATCAAAAAAATATTTTTGAAATCCAGAGCCAAAACAATTTTAGTGTTTAAAATATGACATAAATCAAGACCACGTAATGTTTGAATTTATCAATTTCTTTAAAAGTCAAAGGTTATTTAACTTTGAAATTTTAATCAAAGTTCATTTTGTGATCTTCAGACCATATTTGACCATCCACCAAAATAGACAACCTTTTTTCACTGGCAACAATAGAAATATTTTCTCATTTACAATAACAAGATAGATAAACGGACGTACAAACAAAAAGACAAACATGTACATGTATTACAAAAATTAATTCACTTCTTTCATATGACGTCATTACAGATGGTGGGGTGAGCGGAAGTGCCTCAGCGATGACGAAGAGGATGAGAATAACGCCAGGGGTCTACGATTAGAAAACGCTGCCGGACTCTTTTTCGTTCTGGGGGCCGGGGTTGTTTTGTCCGTCTTTGTGTTGTTTGCCCAGAACTTCATCAGGACTATACGACCACAAATCAAAACTGGCAAAAACGACAATGTTACGTAGCTTGTAATGTGATAAGAAAATCGACTTTCATTTCATAAGTACGTAATGGTGCTCGAAATAATTGAAGCTCTCCAAGAGAGTAGTGATGCCAGATAGAGTGATTATAAGATGGGTAAATGGATCAATATTAATTTTGACGGAAGTGCAGTAGATATCATGTAAAGCAGGCCACAGTGATGTCAAAAGTTGTATGGTACATGTATGTTGTCTAATACTGGTTTGTGGAGATGTGTGTATGTCTTTCATTTATTTGTCTGCTGCGAAATAACCATCACTTCTCATTATCCATCCATTATTTGACATTTTGTTGATGGGTCAGTATGACAATTTAATCAGTGCAGTGTTTACATTTGATAAGGATTATGTTATTAGTTTTGTGTACTAGTTATATCGTGTATAGGCAATCGTGACTTTAAATAAAATATAGTTAAAATATTTTATTCTTCATTATACCCCCCGCTTTTTTCATTTTATAAACTTGGATACCATGCTATAATTGTTGTTCAAGATACCATTTTTGCATAATTCTAGCTACATGTAAAAGAACTGTAGTGAGAAGTATTCTGACGGCAATAATAAGATATAGAAGCCCGTGAGATTCCATGATCGCCTGATGATTCAAGAAGATATTAGTAGTGGAGACTTTCCTAATCTAATTTTCATTTATCATATTCCTAGCAGTGAATACATGTAAACAGATTCTGCACTTTTCGATCCATATAACTGATGTCACGTAACTCGTATCAACGACCTGTTTGAAAACATGTATCACTTTAAGAGACAAGTGTGCAAAAATCCACATTAAACGGGGCAGTGTTTTATTTACTTATACGTGTAAAATATATCAAATGTAGTTTGAAAATATTTTAAATCCAATGTTTTGTTTACGAGATACAGTATAGTGCAAATAGTGATGTTGGTTGAATTCAAACATTTAGATAAATCGACGATGTATTATCAATAAAATGTAGTTTATTGTACTTCCAGTCGTATGTCGACTTGATACATGTATATTACACCTATGAAATTTAAATAAAATGGACTACAGAGTCTGACGCACATCTGTTGCAGATTTGGATAGTTTACTCAAAAATGACGTCAGTGGTAATATAAAAACAAAAGTTAACTAGGGCTAATTGTAACGGGAACCGTTACAGATGTTCCCCAAACGCTCCCCAACTCCCTTTTGGTGCCTTATTCCTTTAAGTTTCATTAAATAAGACAAACTCTATGCCTTTTAGACTATAACAATGTTTTCCCATAAGTATATTAAGTATATTCAAATTTATGCATTGCACGCGTGCGCATTTGAATGCATGTGTGTAATGACTATATCATCTTGTCTACACTATTTATATATTTTAATATACTAGAAATTACAGCATTTAATCCAAAAGTATTGACAAATACGTTAAATCTAGTGTATTTGTAATTTTACTCATTTCACGTGCACGCACGTGCATGCATGTGCATGATGACCATATAGGAGTCCCTTATATGTTCTAAATCCCATCCTGTTTGGTTGATAACCAAGGAACTTATAACCATTTAAAGTTTTAATTGCAATATATTTTGAAAATTATTATATCTCAAATTTAGGATATCCTAATGCATGACTATGTTTTAAATATCGAAGCATTTCGTTAAAAAGCAAAAAAAGATATTGAGATTTTTGTTTCAGCCAATCAGAGGGAAGCGCACGTGCATGCATGTGCATGATAACCATACCTTTTTGTAGGAGTCTTTTATGTCTATCTATGCTCTGAATTCCATCCTGTTTGGTTGATAACCAAGGAAGATATAGTCATTTAAAGTTTAAGCCAATCAGATTGCAGCGCACGTGCATGCGCGTGTTTTCGTGGAAAATGTTATATATCATACTGTAGTATAATGCATGACTATTTTTAAAATTTCAAAGACATCTGGCAAAAAAACAAAGAAGATATTGAGATTTTTGTTTCAGCCAATCAGAGCGCACATGCGCGTGAGTTCATGCTAATTTGAACATATCATATTATCTACACTATTAATATATCATTATATAATGAGTTTCAAAGTATTTCATCAAAAAATGTAAAAGTTATGGCTATATAAAGTATATCAGTCATTCCACTCATTTCACGCGCCCGCACGTGCATGCGTATGCGCGCAAAATGACCTTCGTTCTGCACACTACACTACACACCTATTAACCCTAAAAAGGTTTTAGCTCAGTTGGATTCGGAAAAGTACCGGAGAACAAAGAAGAAAAAAAAGAATAATAATAATAATAGTAAGAAACCGAGTAAAAACAATATGTTCCCAAACTCCGTTTGGGGAACATAATGATAAACTTGATGACTTACCATTTTCAACTGTAATTATAATTTGTAAACCTTTCTTACGTGTGTTGCAATATACCTAAATTCTATTGCATATGTGGTTTATATCTCTCAGTTGAGTTGTTACCCAAGAGGATGCCCTCAATGCGTACAAGATATTTTTAACAACACGACAAGCTCTTGAGCATCTTTATAAACAAGTATATCGGTAGTTATGTTCCCCAAACGAAGTTGGGGAACATATTGTTTTTACTCTGTTTCTTATTATGTTCCCCAAACGGAGTTTGGGAACATATTGTTTTTACTCGGTTTCTTATTATTAGTATTATTATTATTATTCTTTTTTTTCTTCTTTGTTCTCCGGTACTTTTTTTGTCCGCGAGTGTTCTCAGAAACTGTTCACCCAATAGAGCTAAAACCTTTTTAGGGTTAATAGGTGTGTAGTGTAGGTGTGCAAGACGAAGGTCACATGCACGTGCGGGCGCGTGAAATGAGTGAAATTACGGATATACTTTATATAGCCATAACTTTTACATTTTTTGATGAAATACTTTAAAACTCATTTAATAAGGATATATTTATAGTGTAGATAATGTGACACTGGAACTCACGCGCATGCACGTGCGTTTTGATTGGCTGAAACAAAAATCTATCTTTTCTGTTTTTTGTCAAAATGCTATGAAATTTAAAATATAGGCATATATGTACTACAATACGATATATAACAATTGTCATGTAAACACGCACATGCACGTGCGCTGCAATCTGATTCGCTTAAACTTTAAATGGCTATAACTCCCTTGTTTTTCAACTAAACAGTATGGAATTTAGAACATAGACAGACATAATGGACTCCCACAAGGAGGTATAGTCGTCATGCACGTGCGTGCACGTGTTCTTTGCTGTGATTGGCTGAAACAGAAATCTCAATTTCTTGTTTTAATTTTTGATGAAATGTTTAAACATTTCAAACTTAGTCATGCATTAGGATGTCCTACAATATGATATATAATAGTTGTCGTGAAAACATGTGCATACACGTGCGCTGCAATCTGATTGGCTTAAACTTTAAATGGCCATAATTTCATTGTTTTTAAAACTGGATATTAAGTTCCTACGAGAGGATATGGTACATGCACATGCATGCATGTGCGTGCACGTGAAATGGGTAAAATTACAAATACACTAGATTAAAACATATTTTTTAATACTTTTGGATAAAACGCTGTAATTTCTAGTATATAAATAGTGTAGACAAGATGATATGGTCATTACACACATGCATTCAACTGCGCATGCTTGTAATGCATAAATTTGAATATACTTAATATACTTCTGGGGAAACATTGTTATAGTCTAAAAGGCATAGCGTTCGCCTTATTTGATGAAGCTTACAGGGAATAAGGCACCAAAAGGGAGTTTGGGAGCGTTTGGGGAACATCTGTAACGGTTCCCGTTACAATTAGCCCTAGTTATTTTTCTTCTTCTTCTTCTTCTTCTTCCTGGGTACTTTTTTGTCCGGGAATGATCTTGTAAACTGTTCGTCCGATGTAGGTAAAACCTTTTTAAAAGTCATTTTGCGCGCACGTGCTTGCAAGAGCGCGCACTTGCAACACGTGAAATGACCAATATAATAGATATAACCGCAACTTTTCTATTTTTTGATGAAATGCTTTGAAACTCATAATGTGAGGATATATTAGTAGTATAGAGATGATGACATGGTCAAAATAGCAAGATCTCACGCGCATGCACGTGCGCTTCGCTCTGATTGGCTGAAACTAAAGTCTCAATATCTTTCTTGTTTTTTGACAAAATCCTTTGAAATTCTCTCAAACATTATAAAGATCTACAGCATGATATATAATAAGTATCATAAAAGCATGCGCATGCCCTTTAAATGCCTATAACTTCTTGGTTCTCAACAGAACGGGATGAAATTTAGAATATGGATAGGTATGATAGATTACTACATTATGCTATCAGAATTGAATGCAAGGACATAACACGTGCACGCGCACAAGCAAAATGACCAATTTATTTGAAAAACGGTAACATTTATATTTTTATGATTTTCTTTTTGATTCTTATGACATTAAGAAATGTTTATGGTTTAGACAACATGCCATGATCATCTTGCATTTGCATGCACTTGCGTGCGCGTGCAATGAGTTAACTAACATATAGTCAGTATCATTGTAGCTTAAATAATTTTTATATGAAATCCCTTGGTACTGATCATATTTTAAAAATGTCTTACAGGAAAATGGCACAAAAAAGGGATTTGGGGAGCGTTTGGGGAACATCTGTAACGGTCCCCGTTACAATTAAAACTAGTTTCTTTAGGAGTCATCGTTTTGCAAGTTCTATGTTCGATACAATGGTTTTATATCAGGGTAGCCATCACTCCCTCTATTTTTAATTAAGTTCAAGTAGTTATTTATAACAACCTTCATTTTCGTGTCTTTTGCATTGCCAAAGGGTTATTTATACCAACCCCAAAAATCATTAACCATAAATACGCTATTAACTTGATAAATATCATCTAGCAAGTATGAGGGAAATGAAAAAAAAAGGTTTTATATTTTACGCTAAAGTATTTGAAGCTGATATAAAATGTTGTCATGTTGGTGTTAAATGATGTCAGGTACGTTCTGCTCAACAAACGATCAAACGTTGTTAGAGTAACAATTTCAGCAATCTGAAGTTCTTATCCACCCAATTTTGCAAAAAAACTTAGCTTTATTTGTGGATATGTTTCTATATTTATCCCTCACATTTTTATTATTGTATAAATAGGTACTAGTTATAATTTCAGAGATAATAAAATTGAAGTTTAAAAAATCCTCCGGGTGGTTATTCTATTGCAACAAACATCAGGAATTATCGTAACAACATGAATTTCAGACCATTGACGACAAATTTCAGCCTTTCTCGTTAAGATCAGTGATGATGAACTTTATAACTTCGTCATCATACAAATGTTATCAGTGCAGAACGACGCCTTAGTCTAAAATTGGTTCATAAAATACTAAAACACGACACAATTCGAGATTCCTATTAATCACAGCGATATGTAGAGTTTAGCTTTCATAAGGGTGGCTTTACGGAAAAATCGTCTATTGTTAGTTGGTCCTCATTATTTGATTAAAAAGATTTGATATGGATAGAGTCCTGTTAGCTTATCATATGTCACCAGTTGACGGGTATGTGAATTCAGAACACGTAATTGAGCATGAAAATAACTGTTAAAATTTATATGATCTAGTTTACTTGCAGTGCTGTTATAATTGCAAATGAATAGGAAACAACGCTTTTCTGTCGAATATTTTTTTTTCTGTATGAAAAGCACATAAATTATCAGGTGATTAACTAACTTAACAAAAAATCTACTGCGGAATTAGGGGACAATCATCCTATGTCTTCAATAAATGTTTTTAAACTAAATTTCTGAAACAGATATACATAACGGGTTTCAGATAATGTTCTCCATTTCTTTAATTTATTTAAATAAGGAGGAACTCGGGAGTACAGTGCAACAACACATTCGAGAATTGGTATTTAAATCAGATGTAGATACCTCAAAACTAAATTTTTACGCACATGTATTATTTAGAAATTAGATTGTTTAAAATAAGAATGTTGACTTAAGTCTGACTTAAGTTGACTTAATTTATGGTCTTGAGGTCAGGTCCTCCAACAGGTCCCCTCACAGTCTTTTGGAATTTTCTTGGGTATTAATTGCGTCCAGTTATTTGCAGACTTATTGTTGTATTCATATGAAGATGAATTAATTCCAAATATTAAACATGATAAAAAGAAAACATTTACTGTGTCACTCGACAGTTAGCTACTATATAAGTATATCAACGACATATTATCACGTAATAATAATCATTTCCATTCTTGTGTCGACACGATATGCTATCAAGAAACAAAACTTATTTCCATTCTTGTGTCGACACAATATATCCCGGCGAGCTTGGAATTTTATACCACAGAAGATACCACAGAGTCTGACGTCTCTATTTCATACTTGGATATTTTACTAGAACAAGACTTAAATGGTGCAACACAACAAAGCTTTATAATAAACATTACTTTAATTTTTTTAATCATCAGCTTTTCTTACTTATGCATCAATATACCTTCTATACCTGCATAAGTAGTTGCATGTCTCTCGATTAATTGGATATGCTAAAAGCAAGCTTTACATATAAACAAATTCTAATACGAGATATACAGAGATAAAATAAAACTTAAAAGAAATTCAAGCAGAGCAATCACAGAGCTCCAAAGCATCAGAGGTGGGATTAGATGACATGGAGGAATGAACATCCCCTGCAAACCGATCACACCCGCCGTGTGCTCCTGATCATGATCATGATCATTTTGACAAATCAGTGTGTATATAATCGCCTAAGATTAGTATTAAAACGTCAGACAGCATTTTGTTATATTTATATTATATTTGCTGACAAGGTCATTGTATCAACCATAAAACTTACAAAATGATTACTTTAAACAAGACTGCTAATATTCTCGCTTCAGCAATTTGTTTGTCAATAATTACCCCCGATTTAGAAATTATTCATTTGTAGCATATGAATCAATTGAGATACTCGTATATACACTCGTTTGCGGCTTACGAAGGTAAAACTAAGGAAAGTTGTCGATTGAAAAGTTAGAGCTTGGTTGTTAGAATACCATTAACGTCTTTTTCAAGAAAAATGTCCAAATATGAAACAGATATGTCAGACTCTGTGGTATCTTTAATCTCAAGCTCACCAGGATATATCGTATCGACGTAAGAATGGAAATTACCATTGTTAATTGCCAATACATGTACGTGGTCGATATATCTAAATTTTTAGTTGAATGCCACAACAAATGTTGTTTTTTTCTTTTTACATAGTGTTAAAGATTTTGAACAAAATTTGCTTCGTATGAATACAAAAAAGGTCTACTAATAACGAGGTAAGTTACTAACAAAGAAGTTGATAAAACTAGAATATCAGCAATATGAATACAAAATTAGGTCTGCTTTAGTAACTAACAAAATGATGAAACGAAAATAGCAGTCTAGTTTAAAGTCAACATTTCCTATGATTAATGATTGATACGATAACCTTGTCAGGAAATACAATCTATCATTAAGTGAAATGCTAACTGACATTTTTAAAACTTATTGTTAGACTGTTATTTACACACTGAAGCGTTGAAGGATTTTTCCTGTTATTTCCCGATCGTGACAAGGAACACATGGTGTTTGTCACCGGTCGGCAGGGGATGCTCACTTCTCATATCACCTGATCCCATGCCTCTGATGTTTTAGAAGTTCGTGCATACTATACTCCTGATTTGAATCACTTAAATGAACTTTAAAGCTCGGGTAGAGGTTGTCTATAGGTTTCGTTCAATTCAGCCATCGGCAGCTTATTTATCTGAAATTTTCAAATTTTAGGACGTTTCTATTTATGGTCTTAAGGGCATATGATACAAACAAATAATTATATGGCTGGATTTAAATCCATATTGAACTTATTATGAAAATTATTTTCTAAATTAATATGAATGGTTTTGTCTTATGCAACCTATATATTGAGATATAAATAATATTATATACTAGTAGATAATCTGCCATAATATATTTTCTGTTACTGTATTTAATACTGGTCTGGTATGACTAAGTTTAAGGTTATGTTATCCCTATGTTTGCTTACAAAAAAAAATGAATAATTAATTTACATTAATCATAGCCGTTTCAGAATCTTGTTGTCTAATCCACGTGCACAGACTCCACATAACACGTAGTGAAAATGTCTTGCGGGAAAATACACAACTGTTTAAACAATATTCTTTCTCTGAACATTAATGTTAACTTTTCAATGGTCTCTAATTGCAGAAAGACAATGAAATAATCACAATGTTATGAATCCCAATAATGATTTATATCTTGCGAAAGTTTTGTCTATATATTACCTTGGTATTTACAGGATTTAGAATACCATTTTTGTAGTTATTTTTTTTAATTTTTATTATTTTTTGCTTTATAAAAGAGAAACGCATTTTGGCCAATTAAGATATTGATTATTTAGAGTTAATTATATAATGATTGAATGCCAGACAAGGCGATCAATTTAGAGAGATGTAAATACATTTATAATCTATTCATTGGCAATTGCATTGATAAGAGAATTGTAAGAATGAAATTAACCGAACTAATCAAAAGCAAATAATGAAGCATTTGTTAAACAAATAAATTGCAATATTTAGACATTTCTAGCTACTTTATCAAAAAATTATTTGTAATTGTAATTACAGCAATTGATAGGAGCAATTTCAATATTTGTGTAAATTTTACATTAACAATTAACTATTGACTCAGACATTTTAATGAAAGTCACATCACAATAGAAATGGATCCTAGCTTTTAACATTTTTTGAAAATCATTTGCTGCCATGGGCCATGTGAAATAAACAATACTCATACATCTTTAATACAATATTTAATATGAAAATGACAATATATTGGCTAATTTTTTTTGTTTTGTTCGTTGCTTATTATCTACACAACTACTGCTTTGAAATAAACATTGTACATGATAATTTAATGGGATTCTCTTTGTAATGTTGATCACAACAATTTTAAAAATTTGTTTCAGAGAAAACAAAGCGAGTCTTGATTAAAATATTTTACTGTTTTATTAATTAATATATTTTTTAAAAATAAATAAATAATATACATATAGACAGCTTTTAATACATTTTCCTTTGCGAGCTGGATCAGTACAGTCTAAAATCGCTGTAGTATCTTCTGAGTCTTTGATTTACAATCTATTTCACAAGAAACTCTCTCTTTCCTTAATTTCACTGTTTTTCCCATTCATATTTTTCTCCTGAAATTTTACAAATAAAAGAAATCAAATATTTATAACAGCCAGGTTTATGAATTAATGTAAGAAGTAAAATGGGAATCAGAAGTCAATGACTGATTCTTTTAATCGAAAAACAATGAATTAAAAGTATATGAATAAAATGAAAACGTTTAAAAATAATGAACATACTGTGCTAATATGAATTGCTGTGAAAGAAATTATGGAATACCATGAGTGTCTATGTGCGCATTAGAGAGACTGATGAAAAATGATTCACAGAAAATTCAATGCCTTTTCATATATATGGTACTTTAAATTTTGACATCTTTGGAAGACGTTTAATTTTTGGAGTTCTATATGCGGAACTTAATTGTCTTTTCTCGAGGGGGGGGGGGGGGGTGTTAGAGAAAAAGAGTTATTCTTAGCTGCCATGCATGAATGAGGATAACATGCAGTAAGTGACTGAAATTTAAAAATACATGTATGCAAAGGAAAAGACTTATGCAGCCAAAGAAAAGCAATTATATATCTACATGTACAATTACAATACACGTTTATAAGGGAGGTTATTTAAGAAATAAATAACAAGTTTATAAACTTCAATGGGAATTGAAGTGGGTCGGTCACGTGATCAAATCCTGTGAAGGCCGAAGGCCTTCTCAGAGATTTGACTTCAATTCTCATTGAAGTTTATAAACTTGTTATTTATTACTTATATATACATTTGAGACAGACAATTGAATATTTTCAAATTTAAATTATTGCACTAACCGTCCGCCGTAGATTTTGAAAAATGACGCAAGGTGTAAATTGGCTTGCATGGCAGTTACGCTTCGAATTCATTAGGGTAAGGAATCTATTTCGAAGGAAATATTTTGTGAAAGGCTACTTGTGATCAGTAATAGTGAACAGATTGTTGTCTGGGAATATTTCATTCGTGAAAATGATAATCGCTGCTGAAAAGACACAAGAAACACGAAGTTTGATGATAAAAAGTTGGAGGAATTTCGGTCGCTGGAAAGGGATGGATGGATCATAGTTAATTTGCAATTTGATCAAAAATATTCCACGGTTTCAGTAACTAAAGGCACACTTATCGTAAAACACTGATAAACACGGAGACACTGGCGACAGCTTTAATTGAACTACGAAAACGCCGAGGTGTTTGGCAGCTGTTCATGGCATGATTGCAAAGATATTTTCCAACAGATTTACACATTTATCGTGAGTAAAATTTAAAGATAAAATAAAAGTTTATCATGAAAATTTAACCAAAGGTCTATCCAAAAAATAAGGATGAACGTTAGAGACTGTGCAGCTGACACAAGTGAAGAAAAATGTAAACAAACGCTAGGCTCCTAGTTTTCTCTATGTACACAGGTTGAATCGATAGCCCAAAAACTGTATGAAATACTTGTTTACATTTAAAATAAAATAATTATCATTTTACTTGCTTATTTTATTCATTTTTATACACGAAAAGCAAGTAGGGCCTAGAGCAGGTCATTTTATAATTTATGTATCGGTAGATATTATTGCGCCGTGTGATTAGGTCACGTATTGACCTCTGACCTCTGACAACTTCATACAGAATTGAAGATATTTTCTCTCTGTATGTTTATATAATGGAGAGATACCACAAATGTATATATTATGGCATAACTTCTGAGATGAAGACTTTTGAACGTGTTATAAGCATTTCAAACTGGAAATTAATCAGCATTTTAATTTTCTTCCCCTCAGTATTATATATATGTAAACAAGTAATGCAATAAGGCAATTCTTATTACATGTAGATTGTTACTAATTGCACCCCGTTATTAGCAGACCTATGTTTGTATTCATATGAAGTAGAAAATCAAAAAAGACTTTAAAAGTAAATATCAACCAAGCTTTAAGAAACCATGATGACTAAGATTTTCATCGTCAACTTTCCTTACTTATATTATGCAGCAATATACCTTTATCACCCACATGCGGGATTTACATCTCTCAGTTGATTTGATACGCAAGAGAGTCTCTACGTATGAACAATTTCTAAAACGAGGTAAGTTATTGACAAACATGTTGATGAAACGAAAATATCCGAAGTCTCGTTTAAAGTCAATATTTCGTAAGTTCTATGGTTGATACGATGACCTTGTCAGCAAATACAACCTTTCATTGAGTCAAATGCTGATTAACGTTTTTCATACTAATTGTTAATCCATTATTTACACACTGAATTGTAATAGGATTTTTCCGTTATTTGCTGATCATGACAAGGAACACACGGCGGGTGTGACCGATCGGCAGAGGATGGTTACTCCTCCATGGCGCATGATCCCACCCCTGATGTTTAAGATGTCATTGTTTGCTCGGCTGTATAATTTGTATTATCTCCATATATTTCATAATAGAATATATTATTGCTAAAACTTTAAAACAAAAGACAAGATGTCATTTTGAAACACTTATCATGATGCATCATATACTAATGGTAGCTTTACGTTACCAAAAAATCTATAACTTGATAATATAATGGAATTTTTTGCGAACTAATCCAGTATAATATATTGTTACCAAATACTTTGTGACCCCTTTTGTATAAGGGGTAAAAAATAATACACCAAATCTATATGAATAATCCACTATATTACATTTTACTTTGCCAGGGAAAGATTTTTTTCTTGCTAAATTTTGCAGTTTCTTCAAAGCAAAATGAAACGTGCCAAAGTTAACAGTAAGATTCCTTGTATAATGCCGATAAGCTAGAGCAAAAACCGAAATATTTTTTGACAAACCGTAAATAATTGATAGAGAACATTTATCAAGTACACTTTGGTTTATTTTCCAATAAAGAGAAAGATGATATTTAAGCCGAAGAAGGAAAGAAGGACATGCTCTTCCATGCAGGAAACAATATTTTACCTTCTTTCTCCTGTATAAAGAAGGAAATGTTTAATTAAATCATGATTCCAGACCAAAGGAAAACAAATTGCAGGGTACAGTCACACAATGCATCATGATATCATGCAGCAGATACAAAACATAGCATGTGATCTGACGAATATTATTAAAAAGATAAGATGTGGACTTTGAGTTATTTGAGTTATTCGTTATTTCACAGCAAATACATATATATGAATTTATGAGAAAAATTAATATCAAATACAGCATTTTCAATGATTTCCCCAAAGAAATACCCAACCCTAAGTGTAGCCACGCTAGGCTTGAAGGCAAAATGTCAGGATTAATTAAATAAACAATCTATTTTTCAGGTGTCAATAAAATCCTAATTGAATAGCATTGCAAACCCACCTTGTCTTAGAATTAAACATCAGGTATAGATCGGTGTATTTTATTGTTTGTAAAACTAGCTTTATTGAAAGGAAATCTTCATCCCGTTGTCGCGAGAGAAAGTCTCTGGAGACGGAGTTTTATATTAACTATTCTGATTCATTTGACAAAGCCCGAATGCTGACGAAATCCCAGACAAACCAGAATTCCTAGCAGAGCACTAACTAATTGATTTCAAGTCACGTAGATGTATAATTTTGGAAGATTAAGTTATGGAAAAGTCCCAGCGCACAAGATAATAAAATCTCCATAAAAATAAATGTAAGTGAATAGCATATTTAGAATGTCGAAGCCAGTTTTTTTCTCATAAATATCGACATGAAAAAGTATATATATATTTATTCTTTTAAATTATATGATTTTTAGGTGTTTTTTTTTTAACGAAAAACTTAAGAGAGGGATTCAGAGTTGGGTATATAATAGTATTTCTTCCGTTTATATCGCTTAGTAAGAAACCTGCATAATTTGTAATAAGAAATACGTGAAGAAAAAAACTATGTTTATATATACTCTTTACTCTATAGTTGGTGTTTACATTTGCCAATGGCTCGACTATCAAGTGACAAAGAAGCACAAACAAGTCAGGGGGAAAATGCAGAAACATGTTACATGAATAAAATTAAATTAAACTTTTTTTCTCACAAAAGTTATGATAAACAATAGACAACGTGCTAACGTTCTAATGTGCTATGTTAAACTAGTGGTTTCTAAAGTTTCTATAGTAATTGTAAACAATTTTCTAAATCTACAGGCCGTGTTGTATTTACCACTTTATTCTGAAATTTAAAAAAATCGGTTTGTGGTTGAAATCTTATGAAAAAAATATCTGTGCATGTAAAAAAAGAAGAGAATTACATAACACCTCACTCTGCAATATATCACTCTACAAGATATTCTTAAAGTGCATGGTAAAACAAAATATAATCATGCAATGGAGTGTTTATTTAAAGAAAACACCTCTTTTTTAAAGAATAAGTTATGATACATGAAGATAAATGAATAATTTAGCTAATAGAAAAAATGATGATAGTCACTTACATGAAGAGTAGCAGATTACAGAAAGATAATCAACAAAAACATATCTACCGTTTTTGCCGCTTTCTTGACAACTTTTGCAAAGTGTTCAAATCCACAAACAATTCCCGCCAAAGCAATCCCGCCAAGGAGAATGAAGAAGACTCCCGCCACGCTGTCGATGCTGAGCTCTGACGTCTCGTCTGCTGACGGTTTGGACAGATCTGGACAGTTGCGACTCGGCGGCCACCATCTGTTGAGGAATATTTCTCATCAGTTTAATGTTTTAATGTATTCAGAATGATTTTATTGAAACTACAACATCAAAAACTGAAGCTCTTGACATAACTGCATTTGTTTGTTTGGTTTTACCGTGTATGAACTTTTTAAGAGGTGCACAATAACGTTTTTTAAGAAAAGCAGTGGGATTCTAAAAAAATTAAAATGAATTTCGATGCATACTTGTTTTCTAGTTGATGTAACATCCCTGTGTCACTCAGTCTTAAGATGGCCATGGACAAGTCCTCACGATAAATGGCTCCTGGGGGGACACCGATTCCAAAGCCCTTAGGGTCGAAATGTGGCCCTATCTCCATAAACTGGCAGTCTTCTATTGTCTTATATTTATTGACAGTTGTGTCCCAGAAAAAGGCATAATTGCCCTGTTTAACTTTTTTGAAACCTTCTTCGGTATCATCTACCATGGAAGATGGATCGACTTCGGACATCTGCGCCCACATTTTGGCAAAATGCTCAATATTTGTATTTTTAAAGAAAAACATAATTCCACTACTTTTGACTGTGCCATATTTGATTTTGGTTTGCGATGCTAAGTCAGTGACAGACTTTATGGGAGTGTTAATTTTTTTGACTGTTAAAAAAGCAGCTAAGTTAGCAGTATAAGATGAGATCAAAATGAGTGCAAAAAACCACCATGCACTTGTCAGAATCCGCCCTGGAAGGGTAGAAGGAGAGGCGTCTGTGTTTCCTTGAAGTAGGGACCCGAAAACAAACCAGAAACTCTCTCTAAATGAAATAGCAGGATATTCCTTGTTCTGGGGGATTCCAAATCTTTCCAGAAAGTACAGAATCACACTGACCATCACAAATGCACCAAACGTACAATACCAAACGTTTTGATGGAGAGGGTTAAGGAACTCAAAGTAAGATTGTTCAGACTGTGGGACTCGCATTAGTACACTGATGTAACGTGTCATGAATGGTTTGGTGAAATCAACTGCTTCCTCCCTCTGTGAATTGATGCTCAATGGAGCTACCAGCATTGTGGCATTCTACAATAACAATTTTATCAACATATTTAAAAACTGATATTGTGGTATACTTTGCTCTTAGAAAATGAGCGAAGAAGCCTCATTTTTATGTGTGTATTCCCTCTGTCATGTAAATAGTTATTAAAACTGTTAGATTGGTCAACCTACACCAGACAATAGCTCCCCAATCATTCCATTCCATTCTCCTGTCTCCATTTTTGTTCCAAATTTTCCATCATGTACCAGGTAAATTTCGAAGTTGAAATCAAGCATTTTAGCCACTTCCGTTATAAGGTCAACAGCAAAGCCCTCAAATCGGTCATTACCCAAGCGTTGTTTGTAATCCCTCTTCCGCATCGTAAAAGGTTTTTCCTACAAACATACAGATTCTGTAAGCATTTCTTGTCAAAATATAAAATGATTTGTTCAAGACTGGTATGATACATATTAATTTTGGTGATGCTGACTTGTAATTTCCTAACTTAAAGGTAAATATTACCGGGTATTTTTTTTTTATAAGTAAATAATTTTCCTGAGATGCTATCTAATATTTTTGTAATACTTACAAGTATCATGACCACAGACACTGTTCTTCCTTTTAACGGGAAGGAGTAATTCCTGTTTAACCTTTTCACTTCCTCAAACTGTATTTTTGAGGCTGAGTTGTTGAAATGAGATTTCCAAACTCCAACCTATGGTAAATCATAATGAAAGCCCTTTGGTAAAAATATTGCTTCAATCTTTTCTATCAATAAAGAACAGTTTACTATAACTCTGTCGAAATCTAAATTTTAATAATTCTCTCAACTTAAAAAAAATTATAATGATATTTGATAAAAATAAACAAAGCAAACACCAAACGATTGTATCAAAAATATTTTTATCCAAAGATAACTGCATGTTTGTAAATAAAGATCATCGAAGTTTCCATAGAAACATTTTTGTGCATAAAATATATTGTATATGATAAAAAAACGTGATCAATTTTTTAGAAGTTAGGATGGTTATAATTAACAATAATCAGGTTTTCAGAATTTAAAAATAAATTACCAAATTTCTTTCATTTATTTTTTCTGAAAGAACCTAGAAAACATTTTGATTAGTTTACATTTCACACATATAAATGCCATAGGCAAATTATATAACTAGGTCAAACTTTTGGGTATTAATGTAACTTGTTAAATCTGAATTTTATGATGTGTTTAATATCTTAAAAATCATATAATTTTAAATTTTGAATGATTTTGAAAGTCAACAAAACATCAATCGTAAGCTGTAGAGAAAAGCAATTCAAGAAGTCAGATTGTATGTAAATTCTTCCACGTGTTGTTTTTTCTCTTGTTGCATTTTTCTTGCATTTTGCTTCTTTTTTGTACTTGTTCTGTTTGTTCGAATATGTTGGGTACTTTTAGTTCCATTTGTTTCATTTAAATGACTCAATATTTAACTTTGGAGGTATATGTCAAGGAATTGGGTGATTTGTTGGTCTGACATAACTTGCCTACGTCATTTTAAAGCTTTTTGCTGCTAAGGAACACACAGTAAGCAGGGTGCTATAAAAGGAATCTAAATGTTAGTGAGAACCTGAAAGAAAACTCATGTTATTTGCAACGATTAGCAAAATTTCTTATTAAGAAATGATGACATAGTTCTTTGGTAAGGGAAATTGAACTTTATTTTCAAAAATATTCACATCTCCTTGAAAGTTATATTTTTTCAATTTTTTTTAGAAGACTGATGAAAAAAGAATTGTATTCTCTGGTGGTTGATCTGTAAACTTTATTTTTTCTGAAAGCTGAATAGTTTATTTGATCTATGTCACCATGTTCTTTGGAGGTTGTTTTGACAAGGAAAGCCACACCTTCTAGTAAGCTATCTGAGAAAGCTACGATACCCCGTCTAAAGACATACCGATGTACTGGAAAATTCGGTGCCCTGTGTTAAAAGATGCAAACAGCAATACATACTTAAATGATAAAGTCTATATTAATATATTTTCGCCATTAATCCAGAATTACAATGAAACCGGTCTACACCAAAACCTAACAATACCAATAGATCATATCCGCTTTGAAAATATTTTTAAAATATATTTTTTTCTATTTTTAAGAATTTCATTGAAAAGCGTGTAAAGCTTTTAAAAAGCACTATTACACTAAGGGATGAGAGGAAATTCTTTAAGCAAAGAAGATGGCTGTCAATATATTTGTTTAATTAGCTGTGTCATTAAAAATATTTTCTTAAATATGAACTAACAAAATATAATAATTTAGCACATAATTAATCAATTTCATTTTTTGAGATATCAAAGAATTCAAACACAAGCTTGAATGAATCAATCAGATTCATTCCTGTAGAGGTATACCAGCCTAAAACCTTAATTTTCATGCAATCTGCAACGTTTTGTATTTCTTTATCAGCTAGTGATGCATAAAGCTCAGTGCTGCAAGACTTAACGAGACATGACATTTAATACAGTATGAGGTTTAATTAAAGGCAAGCACATAAAGCGATGGTTATTTTACGTGAAGTCTCGTATCGCCCTCTACTTTGACTGCTTTTGTTTATACTGCTTACATGATACAATAAAATCCCGTTTGACCAATAGTCTTGACTTTTGCTGGAATACCTCTAGATGAAAATCATATATTTATTTGTTTTACTCAAATTGATTAGTTGCGATTGTGTCTTTATGTTTATGCAGAAGATCTTTTTATAATTAACATTTTTCCAAAGTTAACCAATATATCTCAATATTCCAATGAATAATTTGAAATAAAAAAGTACAGTGTTACCTGCAGCGAATCAAGTCCCTCTATCTCGGACAATTTGATTGTATAGTTATATCGCCTGCCATCGGGGCTAAATTCAATATCCCCTGTATAGCCGGGAATTCTTATCTATAAATAGAATATAAAGTACATTAAATTCTTCTTTTTTCAATGTATCATGAAGTAAGATTTGAACGTAATTTTTGAGCAGACTTGATGTTACAAAAGCTTTATTAGTTTATGATTGACCTTTCGGAGTTCATCTGCGATGGTCGTGGCAGTCACGTTTCGTGGAACACTGGAGACTTTCGGAATCGTTGTATTTACCAGCTTCAAAGAATCGGCCGCCAGACTGATGTTAAGGCGGCGGGAATCTTCGACTGTCGTAATCTCATTTCTACTATCAAACTCCATAAGTCCAAACACCGTGAAATTCACAAAAACGTCAGGGAAATTTTTAAAAACCGGAACCAGTTGGTCTCCCTGTATAGGTAAATCACAGAGACAATGTGGACATCAGACTGTGTTATTCATATTGAAAACAAGCTAATTCAGAGAATTTGTGTCCCCCGCTTAAGGGAAAAAGTAAACCATGGGCAGTTCGGGGGAGGGGGGGGGGGGTCGGATCCCCTTGACTGAATTTGTAGAATTATTAAATGTATACATGTACATGTATACTGAAGCAAAAAAAATATGCCAATATGGATATAACGATTTGATTGCTTTTTCTTTATTATGTGTATAGAAGATTCTTTTTATATGGAATATTAATCACACTGTAATGATGATTTTACGAGTTTGTATAAGCCAGGCCTGATACATTTTCCATTTTACACGCTGAATACTATCATTTAGTAAAAAAAAAAAGTATTTCGAAAAAAAAAAGGAAATGGATCATCCGGGATTCGATCCCGGGACCTCTCACGTATGAAGCGAGAGACATACCACTAGACCACGGCGCCGTTTCTAGTGAACGAACATTATATGCAAAGATGAAGTCACATACATGTATATATTCACGTTCGATATTGTCAAAATTATACACAATGCCTGGTGTCTAATTTAACCTTTATTAAACAGTTTTAATAGATGTAATTAGAATATAAAGTCCACCGAGAACCTGTTTTACACGTAATAACTCTCCTCATGCCCCTGTGCTAAAAATAGCGACATGTCATAAAATGAATACTAACAAGCTAATTCAGAGAATTCGTGTCCTCCGCTTAGGGAAAAAGTCGGCTCCCCCTGACTGAATTTGTAGAATTATTAAATGTATACATGTATACTGAAGGAAATAAAATACATGTATGTCAATATTCATACAAAGATTTGATTGCTTATTCTTTATTATGTGTATAGAAGATTTTTTTATATGGAATATTTATCACACTGTAATGATGATTTTATAACCTCATAAATTTTTCATTTCACATGCTCAATACTATCATTTAGTAAAGAAAAAAAAAAGGATTTACAAAAAAAAAAAAAAAAAAAAAAATGGAAGGTTCGACAGAGATTCGATCCCGGGACCTCTCACATTTGAAGCGAGAGACATAATCACTAGACCACGGAGTCGCTTTGTGCGAACAGAAGTATATGCAGAACTGAAGTCACATACACGTATATATTCATGTTTTCATGTTCGGTTTTCTCAAAATTTTACACAATCCATGGTGTTTGATTTATTTAGCCTTTATTAAACAGTTCTAATAGATGTAATAAGAACATAAAGTCCGCCGAGAACCTGTTTTATACGCAATAACTCTCCTCATGCCCCTGCGCTAAAAATAGCGCCATGTAATACTATAAATAATAATAAAACAAACGGGGCGGGACACTTTGAGAGGGGCGAGAGACGTCCTAGGGAGTTTTGGTATAAAATTACATTGCATAAGCTCAAAATCTTCTTGAAATATCGCCTGGAAATGATAGTATTACATACAGACAGAATGTATAAATTTACGACCTTGAACTTTGACCTTTTGACCTCAAAATCAATAGGGGTCTTCATTAGGCCACAGGGAGTTGTTATATAAAATTTCATTGCAATAGCTCAAATGGTTCTCGAGATATCGTGTGGAAACGAAAGTGTTTTAACAGACAGAATTTGCTTATTTATGACCTTGACCCTTGGCCTTTTGACCTCAAAATCAATAGGGGTCTTCTTTAGTCCATAGGGAGTTGCTATGCTAAATTTCATTGCAAAAGCTCAAAGGGTTCTCGAGATATCGTGTGGAAACGAAAGCGTTACAGACAGACAGAAAGACGGACGGACGGACGGACGGACGGAGAGACGGACGGACGGACGGACGGACAAACCCAAATTAATATCCCCCACTTTTCAAGCGGGGGACAAAAATCTTATGATACTTGGGTACTCAAACATGAAAATATATTATGAATTGATAGTACTAGATTTCTCTTTTCTCCTGATTCACGCGAATTTTGAAAACGCAATATAGATGCAATATTGGATAAGATTTTATATTTTTATTTAACACATAGTATAATAGAATTGAAAAATACAGGTATGACTTACGGGGTCATAGAAAAACCACTCAGAGGGCTGAGATAACATTGCCAAGCTCCTGGCCTACAAAGAAAAAATTAACATTTTTAGTACATGAATGTACCATGCTGCGAGAAGTCATCATTAAGAGAGAATAAAAAATTCTTCAATAATCGGAAAACCCTACATTTTTCATTAGCTGTAAACTATACGATTAAAACTTCATTTTTGGGATATCAGAATACAGATGTCATGATATTATATGCATTGTTCTAAGGGAGATAATATTTTAGCAAGCTCAAAATATATTGTAAAGATGAATACTCTATTTGCATAATCGATACTGAGTCACTGTTGACTATCTATAAATGAAACCATTTCTGGTACTTTGTGTACAATGTTAATTCCTACCTGATCCAGGATGATTTCCGTATGTTCTTTGGAGCAGAAAATGATGCTTTTCTGAACAAAAGCCTGCCTCATCCGGACAAGGTGGTCCCTGACTTGCTTCTCTATTACCTTTGGGTTGGGGTTAGCCTCGACGTGCCAAGACTTCACCATCAGGTCATGGTTGGTCAACAACTGTTCCATTATGTACACACCTTATGAAAGAGACAACCTTGATAAACTATTTATATTTTACTTGCCTGGACAATTTCGAGAATAAAAAAAATACGTGATATTATAATGTTGTCAATTTCCTATTATGGTACCTGATAAGATTGTTTTGCAATATTTTCAGTATCGCAATGTTTATAGGAAATACATGTATTCATGAATATTTCAATTTTGGGAAATTTTCTTGTCGTTGTCTTGTCGTTGATTAAGCATTCATGTCCTCTATCTTAAAGAAGAGACTAAGAGAGGCTCTTTTTATAGAAAATATGAGAGACAAATCTTGTTTTTCTAAGCAAAGTTGGCTTGCAATATCATTATAAGAAGACTAAAACTTCCAGAATTAGCATTTTAATATAGTCTTCAATGAAGAACAAACCTTTCTTTTAAATTTTTTTAAAAAAAAATTGAATTCGGTTTCTGGGTTTTGAAAAAAAATCATTGAAATTTGAAAATGTTTATGACGTCATAACATACTCCTTCACTTTGGGTTTTCCCTATCTATTTATCAATCAGCACGACCACCTGTCATGGCCGCTGTCAGACAACCTTGTACAAATGGTTTATCAACCTATCCCAGCATCCCATGTAAAATGTCTTATCAATCTATCCCAGGATCCTCTCTGTGTACGATGTCTACCTTCCCATCCAACAGCCAAAAGATAAATCATTAATAAACAAAAATACATATTCTGAGAATCGTTATGTAATTTTAAAAATACGAGTTTGTTATAAATTACGATACTTCAAAGAAGATAGCACATAATGTTGACTTTTCTTATGTACTGCTTTTACTCCAAATAGATATAAATCGACACATTCCCTTTCATCTTAGTACGATAAATTAATACTACATATGTTAATCTAGCAAATTCGTGTCATAAAATTGATGCTTATCTTGTTATTAAAAACATTATGAAGGGAAATAGTAAGAACATGTTTACTTAATATGATAATATTTTTTCTTCCCATCTGTTTTTACTGATGACGTTGATGAAGCTTTAGGTGATAAATTGTAATGAAGGTGGGCATTAAAGCATTTGGTTTGATTCCAATCAGTTTGTTTTTTATTTACTTTAAATTATCTCATTCTGTTGTTTGTTTTATTTATCTGGATACTGCTCATCAATCAAATTCCCAAAAATTAACCAGCTGTTTTTAGCTCTACTGGTCAGAGACCAGAAGAGCTTATGCGATAGTAATGCGTCCGGCGTCCGTCCGTCTGTCTGTAAACAATTTTTCAAAACGCTACTCCTCCTACAATTTTGTTGATTTCAATATTACTTGGCACACAAGTAGACTACACTAAAAAAAAGTGCATCGGTTTTTAATTTCGATGAACAGTGTTGCCATGGTTACTAAAAATAGAATTTTCTGTGAAATTCCTTGAAAACACTACTCCTTCTACAGTTTTGGTCTGATTTCAATATAACTTGGCACAAAAGTAGACTACACTAAGATACATAGAAGAGTGCATCGGTTTTTGATTTCAATGAACGGTGTTGCCATGGTTACTAAAAATAGAATTTTCTGTGAAATTCCTTTAAAACGCTACTTCTACAGTTTTGGTCTGATTTCAATATAACTTGGCACACAAGTAGACTGCACTAAGATAGTTACATAGAATACTGCATCGGTTTTTAATTTCGATGAACGGTGTTGCCATGGTTACTAAAAATAGAATTTTCTGTGAAATTCCTTTAAAATTTACTCCTTCTACAGTTTTGGTCTGATTTCAGTATAACTTTTTGAGATCATAGAATAGTGCATCGGTTTTTGATTTCAGTGAACGGTGTTGCCATGGTTACTAAAAATAGAATTTTCTGTGAAATTCCTTTAAAACGCTACTCCTTCTACAGTTTTGGTCTGATTTCAATATAACTTGGCACACAAGTAGACTACACTAAGATACATAGAATAGTGCATCGGTTTTTGATTTCAATGAACGGTGTTGCCATGGTTACTAAAAATAGAATTTTCTGTGAAATTCCTTTAAAACAATATTCCTTCTACAATTTTGGTCTGATTTCAATATAACTTGGCACACAAGTAGACTACACTAAGATACATAGAATAGTGCATCAGTTTTTAATTTCGATGAACGGTGTTGCCATGGTTACTAAAAATAGAATTTTCTGTGAAATTCCTTTAAAAAACATTGATTTCAGTATAACTTGGGAAAACTAAAATACATAGAATAATGCATCGGTTTTTGATTTCAATGAAAGGTGTTGCCCTGGTTTACTAAAAATGGAATTTTCTGTGAAATTCCTTTAAAACGCTACTCCCTCTACAGTTTTGGTCTGATTTCAATATAACTTTGGTACACAAGTAGACTACACTAAGATACATAGAATAGTGCATCGGTTTTTGATTTCGACAAACGGTGTTACCATGTACTAAAAATAGAATTTTCTGTGAAATTCCTTTAAAATTACTCCTTCTACAGTTTTAGTTTGATTTCAAATTAAGCTGATACACAAGTAGACTACACAAAGATACATAAAATTGCAATGAAAATACAAACCAGTAGAGCTACAGTTTTATTTTTTATGTTAAAGAACCAAATCAAATCAGTGAAACATCACTGAAAAATCTACCTTTCAAAATTTCTTTAAGGTGAGAGAATTCTAATAAAAGAAACTAAAAGAAAAAAAATTAAATTAGTGTTACCTCTTGTGTCATCGTAAAAGAGACTGACTTTGTCCCAGCCATAGCTTTTGGTCATGTCGAAGATAGCTTGACTGAAGTCCTCCAGAGGGGGGAGGATTTGGAATGTATACTTTAGGTTGCGTCTTGCAGCAGTTGTACAGATGTATGGAATCTTCAACTTGTCGGCCACAATTCCAGTGGCGTCATCATATGGACCAAGTATGACGTCAATTTGGTTATTGGTCAGGAAATCTTTCACTGTAAAGACCCACAATGTAGACAACTGAAGAAGGATATAACTTTATTTTTTTTTACCAAAGTATTTACCTGGTATACATAATTTAAAAATATGATTAATAAAAGAAATTATATTAAAAAAGTTCTCTTATATTGCACCTATCATAAGTTTCTTTCATCACGTATATGACTTACTTTTTCAAAAACTTCATTATTATGAAAAAATGATATAAAAATAGTTTTTTTGTGCTTCTAACTTTTTGGTCGTTATAATGGCATTATTAGCAATAATAACCCAATGATAACCTATACGTTGTCATATTTTGGCAGACTTGTGTCATACCAATTGTTTTCATTCTTTATTTGACTACAAAATATTCCATCTACTTAATGAATGCATAGAAATCACTGCGTGTGTGACAGGTTAACAGTATGTTTACCTCTCTAAGGCACCTAATCTCACCTGTGGAATTTCAAATTGTCTGTGTTCATGCCGTGTTAACTGATTTGTATTGTTGGAAGTTTAAATGATATTGATCACTACTCGTTATCTCTACCCCTTCTTCATCTTCATTTGGATAACATTCAAGATTTGATTTTATTATGAAATACCTTTGAGCATTTTGTCATACTGTGATTTTGGCTTTGGTATGGTAATATTGAACAGACTGCATGGCAATGAAAGTTCGTTTCTCTGAAGAAGTTCTGTGAAAATCTGCTTCCACGTGCTTACAACTCCTGCAAAATTTGATTTATAATAGCACGTGAATTCATATTGATTTGATGATAATATAACTAACATACACTACAGGCGGCGCTATTTAAAGATCTATTTTATCTTTTAAAACTTTGCTTCAGAATATTTAAAAATGTATAATTAAAAAATAGTATCAGCAACGAGCACAGCTCCTACAAAAAAAGTACTTTGTACATTATAATTAATAAGGCAATATTGATTAAACACCAACTGTTCATATTGAAATTTTCAGCAATGAATACTAGTATACACACACAACTGTTTTTCTGTAAATACAAACCAAACAAAGTTATGCTATAATTCAAATATTGTTTAATAATTGTAACAATATGCAGATTTATTTATAAAATGGACATTGTTTACATGTATATCATTACTGTGTCATGCATGTATATCCATCTTTGATTCCAATTTATTCATTTTAAACAAAATAGCATGGCTTATTAAGGATTTCGTGTATCATGTTTATCTTCTAATTCGATGAATTAAAAGTAATTTAATTTGAGAGACAGTGCTGCATGTATTTGATTTTTTTTTTAAATTTCAGAACCCAGAACGAATTTCATAATGTATTCCAATCTAAACAGAAATCATAGATTCAAATCAACTCCATATCCACCGTGATATTATGTAAGGAGCTTTCTCTCAGAGGGTAACAAGGATTTACTACAGCCAAAGGAAACACAAGATAATTAGCATAACCTGTTAATGAGAGTAGTTACATTACCCCTGCCATTCCTACTTCTTCATTTTAATTCAAATTTAAAATAATACAAGTCGAAATAATAAACAGTTATTAATTTACAATGTATATTATTATATTTGATGTCAGATAAATACATTTAATGGACATGCAAATGGATTCCAGTGTTCTTCTCTGTCATGCAACACATTTTTTTGAATAATACGAATGAAATGTTAAATACTAGTATACTACTTGTACTGTAGGTTTGCCAAAACTGGAGAATACTTACCAATCTTCAATAGGAACGGTTCCTCTGCGATGACGTCACAGAACGTGAAGGCAACGCCAATCATAAGCCAGAAGAAGCGGTGTTCCATTTCCGCTGTCCTCCTTCAGACGACACTTACAATCATACTTCATGTACCTCTACTCTCCCGGCCATCATAAGAACTTTGATCACACTTAACATTGCGATGAATTTCAGGAGAAAATTCTCTGAAAACTGAATGTGGAGAGAGTGTCGTTTGATAGGGAACTTAGATATGATCAACAAGCATCAGTGAATCGTCAAGCCACGGTAGAGTGTTCGCCACTGCTCGCTGAGATCGATAATTGTACAACCTATTGGAAAAGCGACGGGCGGCCCAGAAATCAATGTTGGGAGGTTTTCTGTCTAATGAAGTTTAGATCATTAACTACTCTTTCCAATTAACATGCTGTTAACTTGAACAGTAAAAGACAATGTAAAGATTTATTTTTGCTCCATTAGATCTGACAATTTGAACTTTCAATGTTGTATATTTGGACAAGATCCTTAACAATGAAAGAAAATGGGTATCTGATCATGCTACTACAGTAAGTAATCGGAACAATATGTTTTTCTATATACACCTCTACTGGTCAGAAGATACAGAATCTGGCACACTTAATAAACCCAACTATAAAACACATGGAGCCATATCTGACAAAAATTGGGGGATTGTCTTAGTTTTTTCCGATCATTAAGCCACAAATTAATTCTGATCGTCAGAAAGCAGATGGACTCTTATAATTATCTATAAATGATTAAATCAACATGGAATGTATGTGCTTTATTTTGTTCTCATTCCTCGCAGAATGATTTTTTTAAGGAAAACATGCCTAACCTTTGACAAAAGAATGAAGGCAGATTGCTCCTCCATTATTGAGATTAACCACGAGTTACGCATGTCGGACAAAACCAGTGATATATATGAAATGCACAACATCAGCAAGATCTAATTAAAAACAAGTCCATGATACTGAGTTTTGAAATAAAAATGTTAAATGTATGACATGAAGCAAATTTTCGACTACAGAAGCCTTTTCATTCTTAAATATGGACCTTGGTTTTGGAATTTAAATGTTATCGAAAATATCGAAACATTAAGCAGATGAAATAAAGAATTACACATTATATTCTGTAAAGATAGAAACACTTTGCGCTTCGTCCTCTAAAATCGGTTAAGAATTCCCCAACATTTTACGTTATCTCATGAATCAAATAGCTGTTATTAACTTACAAAGTAAGCCAGATATACTGTTTAGAAAAACTAAAACGATTTTGAAATGAGCCTGTTGGTTATGCACGTGAATAATTGATAAAGTCATGAATTATCAGAGGTTGTCTGACGTATATAATACATCCAATGATCAGTAGCTTTGGATATTGATTGTTGGATCTGGTGAGCCAATCCGCACTATCAAAATTGTCATATGAAATCTCTCAAAAAAGATTTTCTTCTAATATCAATTGAGACGCATTGATATTCTTCATTAATTCTTTTATGTTTAATTGATTTTAAACTTATCCTTTTGATTTTCAGAACACAGCTCTTCTTAATAAAACGTCATTGAGAACTTTCAAACAATTTCAAACTGTATCTAAGTTTAAACAAGGCAATGCTAATTAATTTCTTAATGCACTGTACCACTTCATGTAAACAGGGTTACTTCATTCACATCCCATTGAATGAAAGGTGAAAGCGATCATGATGTCAAAATACTTAGTATTACCTTGTTAACCATATGTTTCTACTTACCTTTTAATAATTACCAGCACCTCTTGTGTTCAGGTCAGATTCCAATGTCAGTTCAACCGAACCAAACACTTCCAATGTTTACGAGAAAGTACTATATACAAATTAACAATATCATAACACACTATAATTTTAATTCAGAGCTTCTTTACAAGTGTCCCGTAATGTAAATATTCACAGGTTTTTATAATTAAATGATGCTGGAATGAGTAGCAGAGTATTCTTTCATCATGGTATGGCATCAAAATCTTATCAACGGCAAAACGTTTTCTATGAAAAATGTTAAATGTACACTTTACATGTTTTGCAGCTAAGAACTTCGACAAAGCTCTGAAATTTTCTTAAACCTGTAGTATTTTAACATAGGATACTGAATATTACTTTTGATTATATCTTAAATTATATGTACACTGGAGCTTATGTGTATGATGGCATGGTTACACAAAGCTATCCTTATGGTAGAAATTACCACAATTAGATGTCGACTTATCAATTTTAAAGTTGAAAAAATATGAACTTTTAAAGTTGAAATTTCCAAAATTTAAAATTGGAAAAGCCAATTCTTATGAAAGAAATTTGGTCGATCAAAAAGTACAAACAAAATAAACATCCGTGAACAGGGTATAAACGCGGAATTGGATTAGGTGTCTAGGAGGATTAAGCATTCCCTGCTGACCGGTCCCACCTGTTGCAAGCCCTTTTGATAGATCAGGTAAACGGATACTCCGTAGTCAATTTAATTCAAAAACAAAAGTCTTACAAATTGATTTGAAATATGTTAATTAAAATACGACCCAATGATAGATAACACAAGCTTAAAAGGACATTAAACAAACAATAATTCACGAAATGCTGACTTTCTATGAAGAGGGGGTTGTTGAAATCCAATACTATTGGTAGCCGTTTGCATTTGACAGCTGAATACTAACACATAAAAAAGAAAACAAGGTGACATCTTCTCCTTTTTCATACAATTCACTTCCTTCAGCTCTTATTGTCTATATAGTCACACTGGGGTTACAAAAAATTCCAGCCTATAGATAATATACAGAAAAGCTATTGTATTTTAACAGAGGGGTTTATGGGGACACTGGATGGATTCCAAGTCAGTATAGACATTGGATAAGTGTAATCAGATATTGGAATAGAGTTTTATCCTTTGGCAATTGTCAAGAATTGTTTTTAATTTCAATAAGTGTAAAAATAATTGGTGCAATATATATACACCAACTAGGGTTGGATGACTATTTCGAGGCAAAGCTTATAAAAATAAAAAGTTAAAAATACACAATTATTGTTTAATATATAAAACTATGTTAATTTTAAAACAACGTTTGGTAGAGAAAATTATTTTTGATATGCCCAAATATTTACGTTCAATTTTAGCACAATTTAGAAGTGGCATTTTACTTTTACGAATAGAAACAGCGAGAATTTGTACACTTTGCATTAGAAACAATGTAGAAGACGAAATTCATTTTTTTGCACTGTCCTTTATACTCTGAATATCGATCAAAACTTTTTAAATTTTGATGTATATTTTATGTATAAATTCAGGTAGCAAAGTATTTGTATTTTTCATTTATGCGAAGACAGTCCTTTATGTATAGAAAATAAAAAAAATTATCATTTACCAATAAAATAAAAGCATTTAAAAATATTTAAACATATCACAATTATGTTTCACTTTTTTGTTATTTTGTGCTCTTTATTTTCTTTGTATATTGTATTTCTATTTTGTGTTTAAAGTGGCATATGCACGGGTGTTTATTGTTATTTTATACAGTCTGTTGACAAAAGAATGTAATTGTATAATAAATTACTTACTTACTTACTTACTTATAGTCAGTACTCTATACTCTATCCAAACATGAAACAGATGTAGCAGGCTCTGTGGTGTCTTTTCAATTAATTTCATTGGAATATATCGAGCCGACATAAAAATAAAAGTTATAACTGTTTAATTTATAAAAGTTAGAATAACCCAGTGTTGTTTTTTTTTTTTTAAAGGTTGGATTTTTGAAAATAAAAGCATTTAAAAAGTTCATTAAAGTTTCTGAGAATTCACGTGATTTGCACCACTTCTGGTTGTCAGAGCCTGAAGTTTTGCTTTGAAGTTAGAAAAAAAAAAATTAAGGTCATCATTCATGAAATTCTAAGAAAAAAAGTCTTTCTATCTAGTTTTTAATATTGAAACTTATATATTTAATATCTCAGATTTATGAGAATATCTAGCAAAATTAGCACTTTATTTCAATCTGATAATTCTTACACTGCATTTCATTCATTAAAAGAACCCCTAATAATACTAGGACAACTACAACGACGATGTAACAAGCACATATAATTTAAATAAAATTCAAATCTTAAATCAAAGTACATTTAGCTCCATTTGAAAATAGAAAATATGTTAACATGTTTAAAATAGCATTTTCCTGCTCTTTTTAGGAAAGAAAAGGACAACTTGAATAAAACCTTTGAGAATGAACTCTGATATTGAAGTAGAAAGAAAAACAACTCGTGTTTTACCAACCGACAGTTTCGCTAACCTATAATTTTTCCCAATGTAAGCAAGATTAAATTCAAGAAAATATCCCAGAATAAATACATTGTAAGAAAAAAATGAGATTGTTTTTCATGAGTAGAACATCTATTTACAAACATATCATATGTTTACAAAAAGTTATAAATTGTTGAAAATCTTGTTGTATTAAATAAAATAATGTTGGTAAAGGATTTATTTCAACACAAAACAAAATTAAGTCATACAAGTTAATAAGTTAATAATATTAATTTTAATTACTAGTATTAGCCTTATAATATTCAAAATTCTAAGGTATTCCAATGTAATTAAATATACACAAAAACAAAACTAAAAAGAACTAATTCTTTAATATCTACAAGAAGCTAAGTATTTGACAATTTTCTGTGGCATATCCTACATTTAAAAAAGTACGGACAATTTAAATCATACAGATTAAGGTAACGAAATAAACCAGTCTTTTTCTTTCTATTTTCGATAAATACATTTTAGTCTGTGCATTGGTAGGTTTCAGTATGACTAGAGGGATATTCACGATTTCTTCGCCATAGATTTGTCACAGCAGATTCGATCATCAGAACTCTGAATTCCTTTCTGTCATTTGGAGGGAAATTGTGGCATGGACTAAAAAAGGTCTTGATGAGAAAATCACTTACTTTTATTCCGGCCAATGACCCTTGAGAACAGAAATTGATTAGGTTCATTGGGAAAGTTATTCTGTTACCACGCGGTGTTACCGTTAAATACTCGGAAGTAAATCATATTCTGATTATCATGACAGAATGAAGAAGAAAACCTTAGGCTATTATTAGGATAATGACTTAAAGCTCCAATTTTACATTTTTATATTTTCTATGCATAAGAAATGTTTCAATAATTGTGTCAATATAATATATTCATATATTATTTAGAACAACAAAATACTGATAATGAAAAGATATCTGATTATAAAAAAATGCTCATTAGTATGAAATCACCCAAACCGATATAAAATTTATGGAAAAAATAAGCAGAATAGAATTAAGAGTATGATCTCATTGCAATATGAAGACGTGTATGCTGCTAATTCTATAATCTATTATGTTTTCTCCTTTTAAGAGGGCGTAGATAATCTACAGTATTTTTTTTACACAATAGAAATCTGTAAAGAAGCAATAAACACAGAGACCTGGAAATTTCAGAGGTGGGATCCAGTGCCTAGAGGGAGAAAGCGTCTCCTGTCGACCGCTATGACCCGTATATATTGATTTGGTAGATGGAATATTCCGTAGTCAAATTCAGTATTAAAACATTCCTAGCAATTGGTAGGAAACAAGCCTGCTTTTTAAAAAGCCTTATGATAGGTTACATTTGTTACCAAGGTCATTATAATGATCATAGAATTTATTAAATGCTACCTCAAAATTGATTGGGTTGTTGAGATTCCTGTAACATGAACTTATCTGATCGCACTCAATTCATGTTTTTGAGTATAGATTAATGAAAAATATGAAGGTAAGGAACAGTATTCAAGATCAAAAGTCCATTAAACAATACAAAATAGGAGCAGAGCAAACACGGACCTCCAAAACATCAGAGGTGGGAACAGGTGCCATGGAGCAAGCATCCCCTGCCGTCCGGTCACACACGCTCCTTGACATGATCGGCAAATAACGGAAAAATCCGTCGTCAATGCAGTGTATAGATAATGGACTAACAATTAGTATGAAAAATGTCAGTCAGCATTTGACTCAATGATAAATTGTTTTGCTGAAGGTCACTGTATCGCCACAGAACTTACAAAATGATGACTTTAAACGAGACTGAAGAAATTCTTGTTTCATCATCTTGTCAATAATTTACCTCGTTTTAGAAAGTTTTCATAGAAAGTAGAGCATGTTCTTGCATATCGAATCAACTGAGATATATAAACTCCGTATGCAGGTGTTGAAGGTGTATTGCTGCATAAGTAAGGGAAGTTGACGATAGTTAAGTTAAAGTCATCACGTTTATCATAGAGCTTGGTTGTTAGATTACCATTAATGTCTTTTTCAAGTAAAATATCCAAATATAAAACAGATGTTTCATACTCTGTAGTATCTTTTATCTCAAGCTCACCAGGCTATATCGTATCGACATAAGAATTGAAATTACCATTGTTAATTGACAGTACGTCGTCGATATATCTAAATGTCGAGTTGAAGGCCACAGCAGTGTTTTCTTCTTTTCGCGCATAAGATTTTGCACAAATTCTGCTTCATATGAATACAGAAATAGATCTGCTTATAACGGGACGCAATTGGTACCCATGAGAATTCAAATAAATTGTTGGAAGACCTGGTCTCCAAAAACAACATAGGTAAAATCATGTGATTTCAAATTGTCCAAAAGTTCCTTGGAATTTTTAAGCATCTACGTCTGATTTATATCACTTTTTGAATATATGTTGCACAGTACTCTTGAAGTTTCTCCTTCACTACTGTTTATATCTTAGTGAAGAGTAAAGAAAGATTTTGAAAAAAAAAGTTTAAAAAAAGAAATAAGTTGGGAGACGTATCATCATATGCAGATGATAATGGGGTGTTATCACATGCTGAAAATATTGAAAAGTTGAAAGTTTCGTTTGTTATAGG